TTAACCTGGGAAACAAAAATGTTGATTCCCAGCCCTGTGAGGTCACATTCAGGTCACGCATCGGCAAGCAAACTTCCTGCTGATTACCACTTCTCCCACACCCAGCCTCAAGCTGCTGAATTGTAATCCTCCATGATCATCACCACTTGGTGAAAGTGCTCTCAGGATGGCAAGGAACAAAACATATTTTTGGATGAGTAATTTAAATATCAATTAGCAAGGGCAGCTCAGTCACACCATTACTAATTGAGCTGGCCGAATTGTAAAGTACATAGCTGGTAAACTTGGTCTATAGCAGTTGTTGAGGGAATCAGCAAGAGGGAAAAATTTACTTGAGCTCTTTCTCGCCAATCTAACTGTCACAGATGCATCCATCTATGACAGTTTTGGTCGGAGTGACTAACGCACAGTCATCGTGGGAACAAAGTTCCGTCTTCTTATTGAGGATACTTACCTTCAGATTGTGATGCTACAGCTACCAACGTGCTAACTGAGATGCACTTTGAACACAACTATCAATTCAAAACTGGGCGTCCATGATATGCTGTGGGCGTTCAGCAGAAACCTGTTTGACCACAATCTGTAACTTTGTGGCTCAGCATATCTCCCCCATTCTACCATTACCGTCAAGCTGGGAGATCAACCCAGGATCAATGAAGACTCCTTGATAACATGCTAAGAGCGACACCAGGCATAACTAAAAATGACCTATTAACCTGGTTAAGCTATAACACAAAACTATTTGCATGTCAAACAACTGAAGCTCTGTAACATACGGTTTGGTTTCCTTCTGACACCATTCAGCAACTCATCTTGTCATAGCCTTTGCCCAAATCTGGACAAACTGCTGAACTCTGGAGGTGAGGTGAGAGTGACAGCCTTTGTCAACTCAGCATTTAATGGAATCTGTTATCGAGGAACCTTGACAAAACTAGAGTCATTGAAGTTGGGTAGAAAACTCTCCACTGTTTGGCATCATACATAGTGCAAAGGAAGAAGTTGTGATTGTTGATGGTCAGTCATCTCAGCCCGAGAATATTACTGTAGGTGTTGCACAAAGTAGTGTCCTAGTTTCTAGGCCTAACTTAAACTAACTGTTTAATCAATGACTTTCACTCCATTGGAAGTTCAAAAGTGCTGATAATTGCACAATGTTCAGAAACATTCACAACTCCACGACAAAAAAGAAAGAGGGAGAAGATAAACTTTGAAGGTAAACTGATGATGCCAATAGCATTCCAAAAAATATTAAATACTCAAGGGGTGAAAGGAAGAGAGAAGATAAATACAATAGATGTTACGAGAGAAAAAGTTACAGGGAACCTAATGGGGCCAACGACTGATAAGACCCCTGGACCTGGAGGGTATATCCTAAGATATTAAAAGAAGTGGCCTCAGAGATGGTTGATACACTGGTAGTTCCTTAGATTCTGGAAAAGTCCGACGAAACTGGAAAACTAACGATGTAGCACCTTTATTTGAAAAGGGAAGGAGACAAAATAAAAGGACAGCTATAGGCCAGTTAGCTTAAAATGTGTTATTGGGAAAATTTTAGAGTCTGTTTAAAAATGTACTATTGGGGTTTTGAGAGTGGCGGTACCCTAATTAATACCGGCAGGGTAAGATAACCCAGTTAGAGCTCCTCTGCTCGCCAGTTCCTTTTCCTTTTTCCTTTTTTCTTTCCTCCTCTTCTCCCCCACACCACCCCAATCTTTTAACTACCCCTGCCTGGAGTCAAGGGTGATGAGTCATGACTGGAGACTGGGCGGGAGCTGATCTCATGGGCCGTGTCCTGCAACGGCAGCAGAGTGAGCACCGGCCGAATTCCTGGAGTGATGGCAGCAGAACAACCATGGGCTGAGCCGAGTCCCGGATTGACGGAGACCCACGTCCCAGAATGACGGCAGCAGGGGAGTCCCGAGCCCCAGAGTGGCATATGGGGCATCCTAAGTCCCGGAGTGACACGAGGTGAAGTGAATCCTGGTACAGTGCGACTTGCCTTATTGCTGCAAAGTGCTGGTGTGGAGTGGTCTGGTCTGGAGGCTGAAGTGACGTGGAACACTTGCTGGATTTTGGCCTGGCCACGTGCTGAGCTGCTGCTGTCTGGACCTCTTCATCATACTGTAATTTAAATCCTTTCCACAATGTTGTAACTACCTGATCCCTAACTCATTCTCAGACACTGAGTGATGCTTATGCTTTCCTTTCAGTCCTCTTCTATAAACAACAGTATATTTGTTTTTACTCCGTAAGATTTGTACCTAAGATGACGCCATTAAAAGGCAGCCATTGTAAAAAAAACTTTTCACTATACTTCTGTACTGGAGTCCAAGTGACAATAAAGGATATTCTAATTCTAGGATAGAATAAGAGAACATTTAAAACTGCATAATATATACAAATGGAGTCAACGAGTCTTCACAAAGAGGAAATCATGCCTGACAAATTTATTAGAATTCTTTGATAAGATAACAGACAGGATAGATAAAGGAGAGCAGTCGATGTAATGTATTTAGATTTTCAGAAGGTATTTGATAAGATCTACCATATGTTAGGCTACCTAATAGGATAAGAGCCTATGGTATTGGAGATTGGCTAACCAATACAAGATATGCAGTTGGCATAAGGGGGTGCATTTTCAGGATGACAACCTGTGGCAAATAGAGTGTCATTGGGTCAGTAATGGGACCACTATTATTTATGGTATATATTAATGACTTGGATGAAGAAAGTGTATGACTGTCACCAAGTTCGTGGGTTACACAAAAGTACATTGGAAGGCACGTGCTGACGATGACAGAATTTGCCGAGGGACATAGACATGTTAAGCAAGTGGGCAAAGACTTGGCAGCTGGAATATAATGTTGGAAAACTAGAGGCTGTTTATTTTGGCAGGAAGAATAGAGGAGCTGAATAATATTTAAATAGAGAAAGACTACAGAAAGCTATGGCACAGGATTTGGGAGCCCTCCTGCATAAATCTCAACAAGTTCAGTTCAGTTAATAGGGAAGGTAAATTGAATATTGGCCTTTATTTCAAAGGGAATGAAGTATAAAGATAGGGAGGTCTTACTAAACTATACAAGGCCTAAATTAGACTACACCTGGACAACTGAAGAGTTTTGGTACCTTACCCAAGGAAATGACAATGGAGGCAGTGCAGAGAAAGTTTGGAGGGACTGCCTTATCAGGAGAGGCTGAGTAGGTTGAGCCTTACATTTTGGAGTTTAGAAATGAGAGGTGACCATATTGAATCAAATAAGATTCGTAGGGGATTTGATAGGGTAGATGCAGATAGGTTTTTTTCCCCCCTTGTGCAAGAGACCAGGACCAAAGGGCATAATCTCAGAGCAAGGGATCGCCCATCTAAGACCAACATGAGAAATTTCTTCTCTGAGGATACTGGAATGTGAATCTCTTTGCTGCAAAGGTCATTAGAGGCTGGCTCTTTCAGAATATTCAAGGCAGAGATGGACAGACTTTATCAGGGAGCATATAGAGTGTTGTGGGGAAAAGCAAGAAAGTGGAGTTGAGCATGATGAGATCAGCCATGATCTCATTGGTGGAGCAGACTCGATTGGCTGAAAGGCCTTTCTCTTCTATGTATTTTGGTCTCAGATGCTGAAGCTGTTTGTGCCAATATGCGACAAGACCTGGATAACATCCAAGCTTAGGCTGATAAGTAGCATCTAACATTTGTGCCACACAAGTGCCAAGCAATTACCATCTGCAACAAGAGAATCTTAACTATTGCCCCATGGCATTCAGTGGCATTATCATTGCTTTAATCCCTTATCAATATTCCGGAGGTTATCATTGACCACAAACTGACCTGGCCTGGTCACTAAATACTACACAAGCAGGTCAGAGGCTAGGAATTTTGTAGCAAGTACCTCATCACCTATCTTCAAAAATCCTGTTCTCCATCTACAAGGCCCCAAGTCGAGAGCCTGTTGGAGTACGCTGCGCTTGCCTGAATGAGTGCAGGTCCAACACCAGTGAAGAAGCTTGACACCATCCAGTACAAAGTAGCCCACTTGATTGGCACTCCATTGATCCTCCTCCCCACAGCACAGATGCACAGTAGCAACAGTGTACCATTTATAAGATGTACTGTGGTAACTCACCATAGCTCCTTTGACAGCACCTCCTCAACCCGTGTTGTACAATCTAGAAGGACAAGGTTCAAAAGATGGCAATTTGCAAGTTTTCCTCCAAGTTGCAAGCCATGCTGATTTGGAATATATCTTGATTCTTTCATTGCTGGCTCAAAATTCTAGATCTGTCTTCCTGAGAGCACTGTGGCTTTCCCAAAAGGGAGTTCAACACCACCTTCTCCAGGGCAATTGAGGATAAACAATATGACAATATGTCACAACCAGTGATGACCACAATCCATGTGCAAATAAAAAGAAAATCTAAGTAGATCCCACCAGTCTCTTTCTGTCTTTCAGATGTATAGTTTTGTTGCATTATTTATAACTTCCATATACAGCCTGCTCAGCATCATTTGGAATATACTCCAATCAAGAGAACTTTGGATTCTTTCTGACTCGGCTAGAAAATTTCCTTAATGCAGTAGTGTCTGAGATGAGCCTTGATGTGAAATTGAATGCAACTCCTTGCTGAATCTTCTGGCAGTTTTCTTTGCTAATTAAATTATATTTTTGTGTATATTTGTTCTATATATTTCATGTGGTGTATACTTTGGAAAACTGGTATCAGAAGTTTTCTTATGTTACTCTGTGCCATACTTTGTGGAGAATACTCACTGGAAAAATTAATACTTATGTCTGCTACTCTGGCACCCTAATATTTTTATCCTCTTGGATTTTTGTTGCTGGATATTTTATTTGGTGAATGTCATTAAAAGTAGAAAGAAGTAAAAAGAAGTCATGGATATGTGAATGGGAGTCCATACGGAAGAGGAAAACTGGGGTGTGTCAAAATTTGTATAGAGCCTTGTATCAGGAATTTTAACATGATTTTTATTTTTTCAGGCTGGAGGTTCTCAAGTAATCTTTACAAATCCTCTGGAAATCGTGAAAATTCGACTCCAAGTTGCAGGAGAAATCACCACAGGTCCTAGAGTCAGTGCACTTTCTGTAATGCGTGACCTTGGATTTTTGGGTTTATACAAGGTAGGTAACCATGTTAGCTTAACCATGATAGCTTAAAGGTTTATTCCTGTAAGTAGTGTATTACAAAGATAAATTGTTTGTATATTGATCTTTAACCGAGTTTGAACACCCAGCTTTTCTCAAGGTCTGTGATTATTTGTTTTAAATATATGAACCAATAGAATGATATGTTGTTAATTCACCACGCATCCTGATCAGATGGGATTGCTCAGGAACCAATTCAACATATTAAAACGTTTAATTCACCATCTCAGAATCCATATTCTTTTATTTTGTTACTGATTCTTTTCACTTTGAGTTGATCCAGTTTATTTATTTTACAGAATTGTTCTTGATCACTTATTTTCATTGTCAGTACAGCTGCCTGGATTCCATCCTTTGTGTACTTCAGTCAGAACCTTTCCTGATAATTAATTAATCTTTTTTTATAACCTTCTGCAATTTTATTCATTTATATACTATCCTGTGCCCTTCCCTACCACCCCCCACGCTTTTTACAGTACCATAAAATTGTAATGGTGCAAAAAGTGGGCATTTGGCCATCGTGTTTGCACCAACTGAATGATGATCATTTTTAACCTGCTGCATACCTCACATAAGAATCTAATTATGTGCATGGCTACAGCAAAGTTAATATTAATATATTTTAGCACAAACATCTATCTTTGTAAACACCGTGGCTTCTGAATTTGCATGAGCAGTCATGCACGAGATTATATAGAAGTCAGATGCATTGTAATTGTCTATTTTAGATGGATAAGGGTTTAAAATCTTTTCGTCAATTTACACTGTTTAACCTTTAATCAAGAAAAAGCAGTTTACACAGTTCTATTATTAACAAAAGCAAAGTAATTCTATACCGTGTATAGTAATTCTATACCAAATATACCATGCAAGTACGATAACAAGTTCAGAGTCATTATGTTCCTGTTAGAGTGAAAGGTAGGGCTGGTAGGATTAGAGAACAATGGATGAATAAAGATATTGAGGTTCTAGTCAAAATGTAAAAGGAATCGTATATTAGCGATAAACAGTTGGGTCCAAATGAATCTGTTGAACAGTGTAAAGAGTGTAAGGACATTCTTAACGAGATCAGTAGGGCAGAGGGAGGATATGAGATAACCTTGGCAAATAAGGTTAAGGATAATCCAAAGAGATTCGACAGGTACACTAAGAGCATGAGAACAACTAGAGAGAGAGTAAGGCTCCTTAAAGATCAGAGATCATCTTGTGTCGAACCTTAGGAGGTTGGAGAGATACTAAGTGAATATTTCATGTCAGTTTTTACTGTGGAGAAAGAAATGGAGGCTAGAGAACGTGGAAATAAATATTGATATTTTGAAAACAGTTCACATTACAGAAGAGGAAGTGCTGGAGGTCTTAGAAAATATAAAGATGGATAAGTCGCTGAGACCTGATCTAGTGTATCCCAGGACTTTGTGGGAAGTTAGGGGAAAAATTGCAGCGCCCTTTCCAGAAATAGTTGTGTCATCTATTATTACAGGTCAGGTGCCGAATGACTGGCTAATGTGCCTTTGTTTAAGAAGGGATGTAAGGAGAAGCCTGTGAGTCTGACTTCCTTGGTTGGTTAATTGTTGGGAGTGATTCTGGAAGATAGAATTTATATGGATTTGGAGAGGCAAGGAATGATTAGGGGTAGTCAGCGTGATTTTGTGCGAGAGAAATAGTGTGCCACAAATTTGATTGAGTTTTTTGAGGAAGTAACCAAGAAGTTGATGAGGGTAGGATGGTAGACATTGTTTATATGGACTTTAGTAAAGCCTTTGACAAGGTTCCACATGGTAGACTAATTAGTTAGGTTAGATCACGTGGGATTCAGGGTGAGCTTGCAAATTGGATACAAAATTGGCTTAATGGCAGGCAACAGAGAGTGATGATGGAGGGTTGTTTTTCGGACTGGAGAATTGTAACCAGCGGTGTGCCACAGGGATTGGTCCTGGGTCCTCTTTTGTTTGTCATTTATATAAATGATTTAGATGAGAATATAGAAAGCATTGTTAGTAAGTTTGCGGATGACACTAAGATTGGTACAGTGGACGGTGAAAAAGATTATCTAAGGTCACAGAGATTTTGATCGGTTGGGCCAATGGGCTGAAGAGCGGCAGATGGAGTTTAATTTGGATAAATGCAAGGTATTGCATTTTGGTAAAACAAAGGCAAAGGTTATACTATTGAAAGTAGGACCTTGGGTAGTGTTGTAGACCAGACACACCTACGGGTTCAGGTTCATAATTCTTTGAAATTTGCATCACAGGTAGACGGTGGATAAGAAGGCATTTAGTGTGCTTGCCTTCAGTGCTCAGACCTTTGAGTTGGGATGTTATATTGAGGTTGCACAGGATATTGGTAAGGCCTGTTCTAGAGTACTGTGTCCAGTTCTGATCACCCTGTTATAGGAAGGATATCATTAAGCTGGAGAGGGTTCAGAAGAGATTTACTAGGACACTACAAGAACAGAAATTGCTGGAAAAGCTCAGCAAGTCTGCCACCATCTGTGGAGACTGACCCAACCCAATACGTGAAGTCTGATTTGTCTCCACAGATGCTGCCAGACCTGCTGAACTTTTCCAGCAACTTCTGTTTTTGTTTCTGATTTGCAGCATCTCCAGTTCTTTTGGTTTTTATTTACCAGGATGTTGCCAGGAATGGAGGATTTGTGTTATGAGGAGAGGCTGGGACCTTTTTCCCCTGCAGCGTAGGAGGTTGAGAGGTGACTGTTTAGAGATTTATAAAATGATGACGGGTATAGATCAGGTGAAAGGCCAGAGTCTTTTCCCTAGGGTGGGGGTTTTCAGGACTAGGGAGCATATTTTTAAGGTGAGAAGAGAAAGATTTCAAGTAAGACAATAAGGGCCAATTTTTTTACACTGTGTGGTTCGTGTGTGGCATGAACTTCCAGAGGAACTGGTGCATGTGGGTACAGTTACAACATTTAAAAGACATTTCCATAAGTACGTGAATATGATGTTTGGAGAATGGGCCAAGTGAGGCAGGTCAGACTAGTTTTATTTGGGACTATGGTGGGCATGGACTGATTGAACTGGAGGGTCTGTTTCCTGCTCTGACCCTAAGTGAAATGACCTTGGTCATGAAAACCCTTAAATGAGGAATGTTCTCACCATTTCCAAATTTTAAAGCTGTAAGAAGACAGAGGGTGGTGGTTGATGGGAAATATTCATCCTGGAGTTCAGTTACTAGTGGTGTACCGCAAGAATCTGTTTTGGGGCCACTGCTGTTTGTCATTTTTATAAATGACCTGGATGAGGGCGTAGAAGGATGGGTTAGTAAATTTGCGATGACACCAAAGTCGGTGGAGTTGTGGATAGTGCGGAAGGATGTTGCAGGTTACAGAGGGACATAGATAAGCTGCGGAGCTGGGCTGAGAGGTGGCAAATGGAGTTTAATGCGGAAAAGTGTGAGGTGATTCACTTTGGAAGGAGTAACAGGAATACAGAGTACTGGGCTAATGGTAAGATTCTTGGTAGTGTGGATGAGCAGAGAGATCTCGGTGTCCATGTGCATAGATCACAAAGTTGCCACCCAGGTTGATAGCATTGTTAAGAAGGCATACGGTATGTTAGGTTTTATTGGTAGAGGGATTGAGTTTCAGAGCCATGAGGTCATGTTGCAGCTGTACAAAACTCTGGTGCGGCCGCACTTGGAGTATTGCGTACAGTTCTGGTCACCGCATTATAGGAAGGATGTGGAAGCATTGGAAAGGGTGCAGAGGAGATTTACCAGGATGTTGCCTGGTATGGAGGGAAGGTCTTATGAGGAAAGGCTGAGGGTCTTGAGGCTGTTTTCGTTAGAGAGAAGAAGGTTAAGAGGTGACTTGATAGAGACATACAAGATGATCAGAGGATTAGATAGGGTGGACAGTGGGAGCCTTTTTCCTCGGACGGTAATGGCTAGCATGAGGGGACATAGCTTTAAATTGAGGGGTGATAGATATAGGACAGATGTCAGAGGTAGGTTCTTTACTCGGAGTAGTAAGGGCGTGGAATGCCCTGCCTGCAAAAGTAGTAGACTCGCCAACTTTAAGGGCATTTAAATGGTCATTGGATAAACATATGGATGATAATGGAATAGTTTAGGTTAGATGGGCTTCAGATTGGTTTCACAGGTTGGTGCAACATCGAGGGCCGAAGGGCCTGTACTGCGCTGTAATGTTCTTTGTTCTATGTTCTATGTAGGTCATGCTGCAAGTGTTGTATATAAATATTAAGTACCAGCTATTACATAATGAGAAAAATGTGAGCTTTAGTACAATGTTTACCCACTCATCAGAAGTGGAACAAGCTTCTGTAACTGCTAACACTTCAACAAGAACTTTAAAATAGAGGAAAGAAGTTTGATATAGTGATTATAATGGTTTACTGTCTGCATTGATTAATGCATTATAGAAAATGAGCATGACCTCCTTTGATTTTAGACGCACTTAAAATTTTGTGGCACTATCAGTCTTTCTGATGAAGCTATAAAAGGACAAGGGAAGTTAAAATGATCATTATTGCTTTGAAAGTCAGTGTTCGGGAGGTATAGTTGGGACTACAGTGACAGAAGTCATGGTTATACTTTCACCCTGTAATGTGTGTGATGTATGGTAAATCATTAATAGAAATTAAAATTATATCTTGTGTCTCTATGAAGTATTCTACTTTTAATTATTTTAATTAGCCTGTTTGGACAAATTTAGTGTAGGTGGATGTTCTGGCCCAGAGGTGAGAGCACTGCCACTATGCTACAGGAGTCTGAGTATTTTATTTGTATGCTTTATTTTAGTTGATATACAGATTCATATTCTGTCAAGTTAGTAGCTCACTGTCTGAAGTGTAATTAAAATGAATTAGAACCATTATCACTTCCAGAACTTGACCCAGAGTTTTAACAATCTTGAATATTCTGCATGTATTCAATACATTTCCTTTAGCAGCATGGAAGGAATTTATGACTATGATGTTTAGTGTACTGCATGGCATTCATATTTATTGTTTTCTTGTTGCCATGACACTGAACCTTCAGGCTAATTTTTGAGCATTCAGCAACATAATTACCATTCCTAATTCTTAACTTTGTTCTTAGGAGAGAAAGGCAGAGGAGGCCATTTGGTCTGTCGTGGCCATTTCAGCTTTCCGTGGGTGCTACTTAGCTAGTCTCACTCACCTTTTTTTTGTGTTCTCTTCTCTCCCTGCCACAGTTTGCCCAGCAGCATTAGAAGCAAAGTAATTATTGCAATAACAGAAGTTGAAAGAAAAGAGAAATTAAATTGTGGATTGAAAAGGGTAAATTGAAAGCAGAAGACCAGAGCAAGTGATGGAAACTTGTGCTGGATTCTATTTGCAGGGAATTAACCCCCAGATTGGCTTTAGCAGCAATGTGGTTTCTGTAATAAAAGGAGGAGAGAAAGACGACATTAACAGGGACTCGGACCTTGATGAAAGAATAGAGAGGAAGAGAAATCCTGTTGGAGTTGGGGCAGAAAGAGTATTTTGAGCCACAAGTGAGAGTACTTCTTGATTTATATTTCAGAAGGTCATCCAAGTTAATGCTAGACTCTCAGCAGCAGCTACTTACACTGATGTAATTTCCCACTTTGTCTTTCTCACAGATCTTTCATATGCTCTTTTTCAGATATTTATCTATTTCCTCTTCAAATGATATTCTCGTCTTGTTTAAATAACCACTTAGGACAAAACAATCTTAACAGCTTTAGTATGAAAAATGCTTTATCTTTCCTTCTCCTGTAATCCTGTGTCTTCTGCTTACTAATTCATTAATCACTGGGAATAATGATCCTTTCAAAACCTTTCATAATCTCAAAAATCCTTGTTCTTGTGACTTTCTCTGTTACTGAAAAGTTACCCAATTATTAGTTGTCTTTTGTTGCTATAAATTTTCCCAATTATGTCTGTGCCAACACTTTGCTAGAGCAATCCAATACAAATCCCACTGTCCAACTTTCTCCCCATTTTTTAAAAAGTTAATGCAGTCTTCCAAGAGACAGTGAGGTTTGCTTCAACTCCAAATGGTAAAGCATTCCATTTTCCAACATTCCTCTATAACAAGAAATTTATTTTAGGCTGTTCTCATTCATCGTGTGATAACTTATAATTGATATTCACTTCATTGCTGATTCTGAACTGGAGGAAGTAGATTTTCTTTTTCTCTGTCTGCTATCAAAATCCTTCATTTTTCTTCTATTAAATCTCCTCAGTCTTCTCTGCTTCAATGGAACTAATCCGAATTAGTCCTTTTAACTGTAGTTTCCTAATCCTGGCGTCATTCTGGTGAGTCATTACTACACTTCAAGGCTTATTAGGTACCCAAAGCTGCATAGATAATAACAGGAGCAGGCCATTCAGCCCCTCAAGCCTGTTCCACCACTCATTGAGATCATGGCTCTACTGTTGCCTAGTTGAACTGTGGCACGGTGGCTCAGTGGTTAGCACTGCTGTCTCTCAGCGCCAGGGACCCGGGTTCGATTCTGGCCTCAGTCAATTGTCTGTGTGGAGTTTGCACATTCTCCCCGTGTCTGCGTGGGTTTCTGCTGCGTGCTCGGGTTTCCTCCCACAGTCCAAAGATGTTAGGTGGATTGGCCATGCTACATTACCCATAATGTTCAGGGATGTGTAGGTTACGTGCATTAGCTATGGGAAATGCAGATTTAGGGAGGATGTGTCTGGGTGGGATGCACTTTGGAGGGTCGGTGTGGACTTGTTGGGCCGATTGGCCTGTTTCCACACTGTAGGGTTCTATGAACTTAGTATTCCCGACTTTGGTCTGTACCCCTTATGACTGTTTATCTGGTTCGAGAATCCCAATCATTAGAAATAGTTTATTTTCTACTACCCCGCCTTTTTTGTTAATACTTGGAAGACTTTGATCAGATTATCCCTAACCTTCTAAATTCTAGAGAAATCAAGCCTAATTTGTTTAATCTCTCTTCATAACTTAACCCCTGAAATACAGTTTTGTGCTCCTGCCACAGTCAATATATTCTTCCTAAGGCATGGTGCTCAGATCTGCTCGCAAGTACTTCAAGTTGATCTAATCAGGGTTTTGTATACATCCGTCATAACTTCTTTGTCCTATAGTCCAGATATAAAGGGCAGCGATCCATTAGCTGCCTTGATTATTTTCAGCATCTGTTTGTGACATTTTAAAGATCTACACACCTGAATGTACTTTGAACTCTATCTGCCAAAACTTTGCCCATTCACTGAGCCTATCAATATCCCTTTGTAATTTTATGCTAGCATTTACGCTGTCTATAATGCTGCCTAACTTTGTGTCATCAGCAAATTTGGATATATGACTTTCCGATCCATTATCCAAGTCGTTAATAAATAATGTGAATAATTGAAGCCCTAACACAGATCTTTGTTGGACACCACTGGTCAGATCCTGCTGGTTTGAGTACCCATTATACTTACTTTCTGTCACCTACCACTCAACCAATTTCCCAACCATGCCAGTAATTTGCAGTTCCATGGGCTTCTACTCAAATTAAACAGTATCTTGTGTGGGATATGCCTTCTGTAAGTCCATATAAAAAACATCCATAGATATTCCCATCCACTGCATTAGTCACTTCTTCAAAAAATTTAATGAGGTTCATCAGGCATGACCTACCTGTCATGAATCCATGCTGACTCTCCCTGATTAACTGAAAATTTTCAAGGTGTTCAATTACACTATCCTTGATTATAGACTCCCAACAATTTCCTTACCACAGATGTTAGGCTAACTAGTGTGTAATTCCCTGGTTTTCCTCTTTTGCCCTTCTTAAATGTGATTGAGTGCCCTAAACAATTTTTTTTAACATAAATAATCATTATTTCTTGACAGTCTTACTCTATACCTCGTTTATAAAATCTGTATTATTATTCACACCTTAATAAATGATCTGATTATTGTTTAAAAACCTGAATGTCTCTGTACATCTCCATCTTTCAGTGCCTTCCGATAGATTCATAGTCCCATTCCTTGCTTTTATTTGCTCCCAAAAATCATTAACCCTCATATTTCCACATTAAATTGTGCATTTATAATACCCCTTCCTAAATTTCAACCTAATGCTGAGAATTTTATCCACAGAATCTGTTATTTGATGCAGCCCCCTTTTTGTTTCTTTAGTAGAATATGACTGTTGTTCTTTGCCCCTTTTTGCATTTGGAGATTTTCAACTGCTTATTTATCAACCTATTTTCCAACTGTCTTGGTCACCTATTTTGGGTCAGATTTGCTCTATCCTTGTACTTTTTTTTGATATGGTTTGATCATGCACTTTTCACCAATATTTTGGAACTGCAAGATCTAATATAGAGAAAGTTGGTGAAGATTAGCAGTGGAGGGAAGCTTTTTAATCGTACTGGTTTATAGTAATAGTTTTATGTTGAATGAAATTTATAGTTTTCATTTGCTTATTTTGAACCAACAGCATGTCTTTTAAATAATGAATATTAAACATTGAGGTTGCTGGTAATGTGATACCTAGAAGGGAAAAATACCTTAGTCTGTGAAATGGCATTGTTTATGTTTAAATTGTTTTTATTTACTTCTAGGGTGCAAAAGCTTGTTTTCTCCGTGATATTCCTTTCTCTGCCATCTACTTCCCAGTGTATGCTCATACTAAACTAGCTTTTGCAGATGAGCAGGGTAGGCTGGGTGCGTTGCAGCTTCTTACAGCTGGTGCTATTGCAGGTAAGAATGACAATTAATCACTTGAAATTGGTAGCTGACATTTTTTTTTTGCAATTATTTCATTTTTATTTTGTCTAGTAATTTTCAATTTAGTGTTTGATATTTTGAGTATTAGGCAAGTTAAATATTGCATTGGACAACTTTAGTATTAATACATATAGAACATCATATAAGAAATAGGAACGGCACTAAGCTGTTTGGCCCTTCAACTCTGCTCTCCCATTCAATAAGATTGACTTTATTTCCACCTTCTTACGCTGTCCCTGTATTTTAGGCTTCTAATTGTATCCAGAAATCTGCTAACTGCTGTGTTGAACACACTCAATTACCAAGATCTACAGCTCTCTGGGGTAAAGAATTTCAAAGATTTCACAACCCTGGTCTCTCTAAGTTGTCAATATCTGACTCCTTTTTTTTTCTGAAATTGACCCATCTTCTGGACTACCCAACCCTGTTGTGGGGGTAGCATCCTCCCAGCCTCAACCTTTTAAAGATTTTATATATATCGTTGAGATCAAACTTCATTCTAAATCAAGGGAATATATACCTGGTCCACATTTTTAAAAATATTTGTTCACAGGATGTGGCTATTATTAACAACACCAACGTTTATTGTCCATCATAAGATGGTAGTGAGCTGCTTTCTGACTTGTGCTTTGTAGATAGTTGGCAGCTCATTGGGTAGTTAGGACATGAGTTACTACGCGCACAATTCCCAGATTCTGGCCTGCTCTTGTAACCACAATATTAATGCATATGATCTAGGGTAATCCCCAGGATGTTGATGGTGAAGGATTTGAAGATGATAATGCAGTTGATCGTTAAGGGGAATTATTTATGTTCGTTCTTGTTGAAAATGGTCATTGCCTCAATTCATTGTACCATATCATACAAATGTTACTTGCCCCTTATCAGCCTAACCCTGAATGCTTCCAGATCTTGCGACATGCTCGCATGGACTTCTTGAAGGGAGGACCAAAAAACTGATGCAAAAAGGGAGAATATGCCATTATTGTAAATGAGCAAGAAACATAAAAATGGACTGTAAATGCTTTTGTGACTATATAAAGGAAACAGACATATGTGGATTGATTGGAGGTAGAAACAGGAGAATTTATGATGTGAAATAAGTAAATGGCAGAGAAGCTAAATATTAATTTTTGTCTCCATGAGAAAGATACAAGAAGTCTCCAAAAAGTGAGACGCAAAAGGTTAGCGAGATGTGAAATTGAAGGAAATTGCTCCTAATAAAAAAAGTTGTATTGAAGAATTTGAATACAAATATATCTTGATTCAGTTGTAGAGAATCTCAGTGAGACCCCATCTGGAGCATTATGTGCAGTTTTCATCTTGTTGCCAAGGGAAGGATATACTTACTGTAGAGCTGCAATGGAGGCTCACCAGGCTAACACCTCCGGTTTCTTGAAAACCGAAAGAACTGCGGATGCTGTAAATCAGGAACATAAACAAAGTTGCTGGAAAAGCTCAGCAGGTCTTGCAGCATCTGTGAAGGGAAAAACAGAGTTGACGTTTCGGGTCCGGTGACCCTTACTCAGAACTTCCTCTGAGGAAGGGTCACCGGACCCAAAACATTAACTCTCTTTTTTCCTTCACAGATGCTGCCAGACCTGCTGAACTTTTCTAACAACTTCTATTTTTGTTTCTCCGGTTTCTTATATGGAAAGAGTGAGAAAATCATTCCTATAAACTTTTGAGTTGAGAAGAAAGTGACAGGAAAATACAGGATTTCCGCTGGTTAGGGATTCTGAAACTAGGGGGCATAGTCACAGAATTAGGGCCAGATCGTTCAGGAGAGATGTTGAGAAGTACTTCTACACACAGTGTGGTAGATGTTTGGAACACTCTACCCCAAACGGCAGTGGTTGCTCAATCAGTTGTTAGTTTTAGATTTGAGATGGATAATCTTCTGTTAAGCAAAGGTATCAAGGGATATGGGCCAAAGGCAGGTATATGGAGTTGGGTGACAAATCAGCCGCCATCTCATTGAATAATGGAACAAGATCGAAGGGCTGAATGGCCTACTCTTATTCCTATGATTATTTATAATTTAATTAAAACTTACAGAATTCCTAAAGGCTGTACAAAGGCTGTTTCTTCTAGAGGACCTACAGCTAGGAGACATTGCCTTAGAATCATAGGTAGACCATTTTGGACTGTAATGAGGAGGAATTTCTTCACTCAGAAGGTAGTGAATCTTTCGAATTGTCTAAAGCAGAGGGCTTTGGAAGCTCAGTCATTGAATATGTTTAGAATGAAGATTGATTTCTAAATACTAATGACATCAAGGGAGTTAAGTATGGCATGTGAAAGTGATATTGAGGTTGATTTTCAGCCATTATCTAGAAAGGTAGAACAGTCTCAAGGGGCTGAAAGGCCTACTGCTCCTGTACCTCCTGTCTGAAGAATTGCAAATGGTATTGAACACTGCAGACATCAGTGAATAAACCCACATTTGATCTTATGTTGGATGAAAGATCATTGATGAAGCAGCTGAAGATTATTGGACCAAGGAGAGTGCCCCAAAGAACCTGCCTCTGGGCCAGAAGGACCATGTTCAAATCCTACCTGCTCCGGAGATGTTTAAGCACACTTCTGATAATTTGATTATAAAAAAAAAATACCGCGAACAACAATAAGGGCTCTTATGGCACAGTGGTAGTATGCCTATGTCTGAGCTAGAAGACCCAGGTTCAAGTCCCACCTGATTCAGGGGTGTGTAAACAAGCTGCTTGAAAAACAAGTTAAGTGTAAACCAGATGGTTTTTTCTGATAGTTAACAGTTGGCTAATTCCAGATATTTATTGAAATCAAATTCCACCATTTGCCATGGCAAGCTTCAAATCCAAATCCCCAGAACATTACCCTAAAGAATGTCTGGAGCAATGTCCTAGGACTAATTGACCTTCTCAGTCACAGTCACCTTCCTTTATGCCAAGTCTAGCTTCAACCAGTGGAGAATTTTCTTCCTGTAAGCCCCTCGAGCCTGCTCTGCCATTCAGTAGGATAATGGTTGATCCAATGTTCCTCATGGCCACTTTCCTGTGTTTCCCCCATAATCCTTGATTTTCCCCTACTGATCAAGCATCTACCTATGTCCACCTTAAATTGACACAATGACTCTGCTCCCATTGCTCTGTGGTAAGCAGTTCCAAAGATTCTCTGAGACTGTACCCTCTGGTTCTAAACTCTCCCCATGGTTGCGGGGTGGGGAGGGACATCCTGTCACCATTTACCCTGTCAAGCCCCTTAAGAATCCTGAAAAAATCAAGAGGTTGCTGAAAAGTCTCAGCTGGTCTGGCAGCATATGTGAAGAAAAAAATCAGAGTTGACATTTCTGGTCTGGTAACTCTTCCTCAGAAACTGTTCACACATGCCCTAGATGTGCTCTCATCAGCACTGTTTTCTTAAAATTCCTTCATGGGATGTGGGCATTACTGGCCAGGCCAGTATTTATTACCCATCCCTGATTGTCCAGAGGGCTGTTAAGTGCAAACCAGATGGGTTTTTCTGATAGTTAACAGTTGACTAATTCCAGATATTTATTGAAATCAAATTCCACCATCTGCCATGGCAAGATTCGAATCCAAGTCCCGAGAACATTACCGGAGTCTCTGGAATAATAATAGCTTAGTGGTAATACCACTAGGTCATCACCTTCCCTTAGATTTGCAGTAAGACTTCCCCACTTGTATACTCCAAACCCTTTGAAATAAGGGCCAATATTCCATTAGTCTTCTTGATTACCTCTGAACAAAAAAAACTAAAGAACATCAATAGCCACAGGTGAGGTGCCGGAAGACTGGAGGTTGGCTAACGTGGTGCCTCTATTTAAGAAAGGTGATAAGGAAAAGCCAGAGAACTACTGACCGGTGAGCCTGACATCGGTGGTTGGCAAGTTGTTGGAGGGAATCCTGAGGGACAGGATTTACATGTATTCGGAAAGGCACGGACTGATTAGGATTAGACAACATGGCTTTGTGCATGGGAAATCGTGTTTCACTAACTTGATTGAGTTTTCTGAAGAAGTAATGAAGAGGATTGATGGAGCAGAGTGGTGGACGTGATCTGTGAGGACTTCATTAAGGCGTTGGACAAGGTTCCTCATGGTAGACTGGCTAGCAAGGTTAGATCGCATGGAATACAGGGAGAACTAGCCATTTGTATACAGAACTGGCTCAAAGGTAGAAGACAGAGGGGGTTGGTGGTTGAGGTAACACACTGTGGAACTGGAGGAACACAGCAGGCCAGATTCTGATTCTAATCAATTCTGATCTCCCTACCATAGGAAGACTGTTCTGAAACTTGAAAGGGTTCAGAAAAGATTTACGAGCATGTTGCCAGGGCTGGAAGGTTTGAGCTGTAGGGAGAGGCTGAATAGGCTGGGGCTATTTTCCCTGGAGTGGGGAGGCTGAGAGGTGACCTTTATAGAGGTTTATAAAATCATGAGGGACGTGGATAGGGTAAATAGACAGAGTCTTTTCCCAGTGGTGGAGGAGTCCAAAAGTAGAGGGCATAGTTTTAAGGTGAGAGGGACAAGTTTTAAAAAGGACCTAAGGGGCAACATTTTCACGCAGAGTGTGGTGCATGTTGAAATGAACTGCCAGAGGAAGTGGTGGAGGCTGGTACAATTACATATAAAAGGCATCTGGATGGGTACAGGAATAGGAAAAGTTTAGAGGAATATGGGCCAAACGGGCTGGCAAATGGGACTGAATTTATTTAGGATATCTGGCCAGCATGGACGAGTTGGACGGAAGGCTCTGTTTCCATGCTGTACATCTCTACGACTATAACTGCGGATGCTGGAAATCAGCAAGAAAATCAGAAATTACTGGAAAAACTCAGCAGATCTGGCAGTATCTGTGGAGACAAAGCAGAGTTAACATTTCGGGTCCAGTTACCCTTCTTCAGAACTAATAGCTATCGTTAACTCCCTTCTCCAGCATATATATCGACATTTTCCTAGCTACTATCAGTTCTGAAGAAGGGTCACCTGAAATGTTAACTCTGCTTTCTCTTCACAGATGCTGCCAGACCTGAGTTTTTTTTTTTCAGCAATTTCTGATTTTCTTTCTTAATTACCTTCTGCACCTATGTTCTTGCTTTCTGTGTTTCATATGCAATTGCCCTGAAGTCCCTCTGTGTTGCAGCTTTCTGCAGTTTTTCTCCAATTAAATAATATTCTGTTCTTTTGTCTTCTTTCCAAAATGAACTTCACATTTTCCCACATTATACTTCATTTGCCAACTATTAACCACTTACTGAACCTATCACTATGACTCTCTAAACTGTTTATATCCTCTGGCAATCTGCCTTTCTACCTATTTTTGCCTATTTCTACTAAATTTTAGAAATTTGGCTACTGTACATTTATTTCCTTTCACCAAGTCATTGGTATACATTGTAAACAATTGCGGTACCAGCACTAATCCCTGTTGAACCCCACTGGTTACAAGTCACTAAACTGAGAAAGAATCTCTTGTTCACACTAGCTGTTTGCTGCCCATGCGTCTTCTCTCTATCTGTACCAATGTACTACCTCTTATGAGTTCTTATATGGGTTCTTTATGAGTTAGCCTTTTGTGATTCCTGATTCCCATTGATTTCAATTTTGCTAGGGTTCCTTATATAACACATGATCAAATAATATGCTGTTGGGTGGTAATTTTCCAGATTCTACTTGTGCGGCTTTCTGTGGTCAGAGTATGCCTGATCAATTATCCAAATAATCAGGTAGATGACAGCATTGTAGCTGTGCTGAAAAAGCTTGACCAAGTGCATGGCTAGTTTTGGGCACAGGTCTTCACTACTGTCACTTAAGATGTTGTCAACCTTTGCTATTTCCAGTGCACAGTGATGCTTCTTGATACAACGCACAGTGAATTGAATTAGTTGAAAACTGGCAAACTCAGGAGGAGGCTGAGATGGATATCCATTTGGCACTTCTGTTTGAAAATGGATTCAGTGCTGTCTTTGACATGCTGAGCTGCATAATCTATTAAGTTTGAGGAGTCTTCTCTTTGATTAGTTGATTAATTGTCATCTACCATATAGATTGGGCAAGAGATGTGTTTGTCACTTGTGCCTCAGTCAATTGCCAGTGGACTATTTGGTTTCTTTCTGCTGTGGCTTTTCTGCAGCAATTAATACAACTGAGTTACTTGTTAGGCATTTCAGAGGGTTCTTAGTAGTTAATTGGCTTTGGGTCTAGAGTCACATGTAGGTCAGACTGAGTGAGGATAACAGATTTCCTTCCGTAAAGGATACTAGTGAACATTTTTTTCAACAATCTAGTAATTTCATGATGGTCATTGCTGAAATTGTTTTTGTTTTACTTCCATGTTTCTATTAACCAATTGAACTTAACATTTCTCCAACTGCCATTGATTTAAACTTGTGTATCTAGACCATTAATCCTGGTCCCTGGGTTACTAGTTCTATAACATTACCACTTTGCTACCGTTCCAATCTCTCTAATATTGTTCATTAACTTAAAGCTGTGTTGTGTATTTCAGACTATATATAGATTAGTAGAGAATAATTACATCAGCTGTTGTAAAAGCTTTAGAGTCACAAAAATGATGTAACTTATCAAAGGCATGTGTATGTTTTAGTGCCTAACTGATGTTCAGAGAAATGGTGCCCTTAGAAAATCAAGAAATGGCACAGCACAGAAAGATCATTCGGTCCATTGTGATTGTGAGCTCTTTGCTAGTGATGTCCAATTAGTTCAATCTTAGTCTTTTTCCCCTGGACCTGAAATTATTTTCCTTCACAGAGTGATATGCGGTAAGCAAACACATCTGTACTTTCTGCCGAGAAAAACAATTGTTCACGACTGTTCTGTGCTTTTTAGCTGACTTTTTTATTGACAGTGTCATTTTGTCAATTGCATGGCCGTTAATTTTGTTCACAGATCTTGTGTTTCAGTTTATATATCACTGATGTTATATTAATTGGCTAGGTTTATTCCAGTTCCATTTAATGAACAGATGTAACATTCCTAATTCTCTTGATAAACGTTCTCTCCCAGTTGCAACTTAACTTACCAGTGGTTTGTGGTATATAATTGAATGAAAAATATATTAGTGCTAACTTTTTTTTTCATTCACAATGTAACGTGATTATTCAATTTTTTTAAAGGTATTCCTGCTGCTTCCTTAGTAACTCCTGCAGATGTCATCAAAACAAGACTTCAAGTAGCAGCTCGTGCTGGTCAGACTACCTATAGCGGTGTTATTGACTGTTTTAGGAAGATCTTAAGAGAGGAAGGTCCCAGAGCTTTTTGGAAGGGAGCAGGAGGTACGGAGATGCTAATGCAACAAATGATTAAGGCTTGAATAGTAAAGGATAATCTATACAGAAAACATCAGCCAATTAACATGAAGACACTTGCTTTTTAATTTTCCCATAGCTCGTGTCTGCCGGTCCTCACCTCAGTTTGGTGTAACTCTGGTGAGTTATGAACTTTTGCAAAGGTGGATCAATATTGACTTTGGGGGAATGTAAGTATATTTTTAAACATGTTTGCAATATGTTTCTTGCTTATGCCACAATCTAATGAATTCTAACATGTCTAATATAATCTTATTTAAAATGCAGTACAATACAACCAACAATTTGGATGTATTTTCCATTGTATTTGTGGTTTATGGAATAACAATCTACGGGAAGTTGAGATCAGCTGGTCATTCGGTCTTCCACATTTCAGTGTAAGATTGCTGAAAACCTATGTTGCAGTTTCTACACCTTGATGTAGACGTACAAAAATGACCAGAAAGGCTAGTTTCGTCTAGCCCTTCCCCTCCTATTCTAACAATGCACAGCATACACACTCCACTATAAGCATATTTCCCTATTGTAAATGCACAGGTCATGAAATCAAAAAAAAGCATAAGTTATTGGTTTTGTGCAAAAAACTGAAAGTTAGTAAGGGATCTTTATTGTTTTGTAATGCCATTGAAGCCTTGCTTTGGGGCAACCCTTAAAGGAAAGATATTAAAAACAATGGTAATTGTGCAGTACAAATATTATAAAAGACCACAATTATGAGGAGAAATTAAATTGATGTTTTTCCAAGGCAGCCAAGAAGTTTAAGAGTTCTGCTCAAGATTATTATAAAGAGTTACGATACTGTAATTAGTGAAGAGAGTGCCTTTACTTTCTGTGAGATGGCTAAAAGAGAGCATGAGTTTAACAGGATCACAAAAATAATTAAATAGAAGCCAAACAGGGTGGTCAGAATGTGAAATCTTCTGCTGTAAACTGTTCATGGAATTTTACAGTATGGAAGATGCCCTTTGGCTTGTTGAGTCTGCACTAACAAAAAACTACTCTAGATCTACATTAGTCTCACTATACTTGACCCATAGCCTTCTATGTTATGACATTTCAAGTGCTCACCCAAGTATTTTTTAACGGTTGTGAGGTGTCCACTCATATCTTCCACGGCAGTGCATTCCAGATTTAGCACCATCATCTGGATGAAAAATGTTTGTCCTCAAATCTCCTCTAAACCTCCTACCTTTCATGTTAAAATTATGCCCCCTTTGTTATTCACCCTTCAACTCGGGGGAGAAGCTGCTTTGTATCTACCGTCTCGACGCCCTCATACTCTTGTGCACCTCAATCAGGTCCGTTTCTCCCCCCATCCACCCTTCTCTGCTTTAAATGAAACAACCCTAGCTTATTATCCTGTCTTCATAGCTGAATTGCCCCATCCCTGACAACATCCTGGTGAATCTCCTCTGCAACCCCTCCAGTCCAGTCAAAATCCTATAGTGTGGTGACCAGACTTGCCCACAGTTCTCTAGCTGTGGCTGAACCAAAGTCCTGGACAGCTCCAACATAACCTGTCTACTCTTATAATCTGCCAAAATTGATCAAAACAAGGGTCCTGCTGCCTTCAGGGATCTGTTGCGAGAATTTCTGGGTCCGATAGTAGCCCCACTATCTTCTGACCCTTACCTGCAGGGAGTAACCTGAAAAAAATCTTTACAGCATTAAAATAGCCTTTATTACTTAACTAGGGCTAGAGACTTCAGAGACTCTAAATATGATACTCTGGAGACTTTGAATAAAGGATTTACAGAGGCAGATGCCCTTGGTATTTTAGTGGCTCTTTTCTTTAGAGGTTCAATGAATAAACAACTTTGTCTGACTGTGGGCTTTATCTTATTTTTCCCTTTGCTAGCTGCAGAAGAGTTAGCTTCTAGAACAATGGTCCTGTGCATTGTTTAACTAACAATGTGTTGTTGTGAATTATTCACAGCTGTGTTATTAAATATTGCTGTACAAGTTATTTCATTAAGTATCCCTTCACACTCCAAGATTCTGTTGTCCCTCTGAGCTTCCTGGTGACCTCCCATTCATTGAGTATTGCTGCTTGTCTTGCTGTTTCTTCCAGTGTGGATCACTTCACACTTATCAGGGTTAAACTTCATCTGACCAACCCGTTTATATCTTCCTGTAACCTAAGACCTTGTCACTCACTGTCAACCACCCAGCCAATTCGTTCATCTGGAAACTTCTTATCCCACCTCACATTTTCTTCTATATCATTTATATAGGTCACAAACAATAAAACAGCATGTTGTAGTCAGTAACTCACCAAGGCTTCTCTAACACAAGAGCAACACATGCATAAGAACATCACCATCTGCCAGATCGCCTCAGCCACACTCCATCCTGATTTGGAACTCTCTTCCTACTTGCACTTTGAGTGTCCTTATGACCACCTTTTCTAGGGCAATCAGTGCTTGCACAGCAAGTGACATCTTCATTCCATGAAGAAATAATTTTTAAAAAATGCTTATACTTTCCCGCATAATCACAACAGTTGAAACCTGGTACAGTGTGACAACAAACTAAGTAAGCGTATTCAAAAAGTTGTTGATTCTAGCAGATGGTTGACCTATAAGTCTACTAATTTTTAACGTTCGGTTCTGCTCCTGGGCATTTTGAATCCTGTTCCCTTCAGTGCCAGGTTCTAGAGTTAAAAGAATGTCATGCTATTTGCTCCCATTATTTTTCTTTACCTGTCTGGCAAAATGAAGAGTAGTTTCACAGTGCAGAAGTAGACCAATGCAGAATGGTTTGAGAGCATGGGATGTAATTTTAAAAATCAGTTTGACTCTGAGAGAGATCATTCCTATTCACCTGTTCTAAATTGGCATTTTAAAAAAGTTTCACAACTGTTTGAGATTCATCCTGAAAGAATGTGTAATGAATACAGTATTGGTTTGCTGCTCTCATTCTTGCAGGTAGCTTTCACCGAAGTCACTGCTAAAATCTTGTGTTTTACTCAATAGCAAACCTGTTGGTTCTGAGCCTACACCGAAATCAAGGATCTCCGACCTTCCGCCAGTCTCGCCTCATCATATTGGAGGATACAAACTAGCTGCTGCTACTTTTGCTGGTGTTGAAAACAAATTTGGCCTCTACCTGCCTAAGTTTAGATCGTCAGGTGTGGCTTCAATCAATCCACAAGTATCACCTGGTTCTCCAAAGTCTTAAAAGATCTCCCAAGGCAATGAGGTGCAATGTGTAAAACTGCATGTAGGTGGAGGTCAGTTGGAATTTGATTGAAATCATGTATTTCCTAATTAAATTTTTGTAATAATACTAAATGTTTGAATTGTTTGCATTGCAGAAAATTGTTGCTACAGAATTTACTTGTATAATTTTAGAGATCATGTGTAAAAGATGAAACCAAACTCCACCTACAGCTAGAAATAAATACTTAAAACCACTTAAGTTTCATGATTGTTTCAAAAAGCAATGTATTCAGTTGTTGATTTCTGACTTGGATACTGTTGATATTTGTTGTGTTGACTGCTATGGACACTTTAAAAAGTTGTTTTATTCTTGATGTGCTTTTTCTTGATCTTTTCTTCTTTTGCTTATGAAGCACCAGAAAAAAGTTCAAACAATGTTTAGCACAGTGCTGCATTTAAACTTATTATTAATGAAAAAGTATCTAATGTTACAAAGTTTAACGCACATTTTATTTTGTTCATTCATTAAAGTACAGAAAACTTATTTTAACTTGTTTGGGTTCAAAAATTGTTTCACAATAATGCAATTGATATCAAACTTAGCTGTAGATATGGGCAGGTTGGTTAATGTTTTACTTCTGCACATTAAGATTCAATCTCCGTTGTGGACAGAGCTAATGCACACTCCGCAATGAACGTCAATTGGTTTTTGCGATGAAAACACTGCTGTAGCATGAGAAAGTTTTATAATGAAATACCTCCCACCCCGACTTTTGTTTAATGATGCTATGTCACTAAAGAAAGATTCTGTATATTAGACGTGTTGAAAAGATGATGAATGTGCTCAGTATACAGCAGAATTCCTTATGATTTTTGTAGATATTCTTACAGGAGTGATTATATTACTTAAAGTAGTCAAGTGACAACCAACCCTAACAATTTTCATACCTTTCATGAATGTTAAATAAGTATCAGCTTCTGGCTGAAATGTGTCCTCAGCATTGCAGAAAAGCCTTTTAACCATTATAACAATAAAAATCCCATTAAAATCAATAGCTGTAATACACACAAAGGGAACTGATACTTCCTTTTGGAATTGGGTCACCTTTCTAGCTGGCATAAGAATCAAACGTAAATACTCATTTTAAATTTTAAGAGTTGCATTATTTTACACAACTTGTACTTGATATTCATGTACATATTGTACATCTGTACAGAGACATCATAGGGACTGAGTAAATCATGATTAAGTGGTGCAATAAGCTTGAGTTAAAGGTTGGTGAAAGACATTGTACAGATTAAAGTTTTGTTAAATCATGTCAGTTAATTTTAAATGTTAGAATATTATTGTTTGAATTATTTTCATTGTATTGATTTCTTTAATGAGAATGAGGCTGTTAGATTTGGTATCTGAATTGCCAGGAAGTCTGGATCTAATTTTAGGCCATCAGTAAATCAATCTTAGCTCAAAAACTTGCTTTTTATGATGTAAATTTCAGCACATTTGCTGAAGGTGTTCTTGATTTTGTAATTGGGTGTTTTGGTGTTTCTCAGTGAACTGAAGCTACATCTGAATTGTGTACAGACTTAAGGTTTCCTTATGCATTATTCAAGTGTGCCCAGTAAATTACCACCAGCAGTTTGTGTGACAAGGAATACATCTAATGTGACATTTCTACAATTAAACTGTATATATGGCAGATGAAATCTTTTGCATTTCAGTATGTTTGTGGGGAATTAAAAATTAATAGTAAATAATTTATAACTTGCAGCAAATAGATGATGCTTGAACTTTTTCAGTGTGTTGAGAGTACACCTCTGCACAAAGTAAGGTCTCGAGAACCACAATTATTTAAGACTACTCTACCTTTCACAGGAGCTTTGCACTCCCAATACCAACAATGGAATATTTTGAAGTAAAAATGTGAATGCTTTAAAGTACAGACCACTTGGTAATAAGATATATGCAGGAATTGACTGGCAATTTCACAAAAATTCCTACAAGAAAACCAGAACACACCTTTTAACTTGTTTTATTATTTATGTAAAACATGTCATTAAAACTAGTACACAACTTTATAAAGTCAGTCATTTTTACTATTTGGTTAGTTTAATTAGCACAATATTTTTGTCCTCATTTTAATAGTACTAGACAAAATGCTGTAATACCAAGTATGCCCTACTGAGAATGGCAAAAACCAGGCCAATGAAATTTGGTAATTTCTGGATATGATTCTCAACTGTATAGTGCACAGCTCTCAAACCTAATTAAAATGACATTCAGTGATCAAGTCAGTTCAAGGGTCAACATACAGCTTGACAAGTTTTTTTTTGACTTCTGTTAAGGTGGGAGGGGTTTCTCCTGTTTCTTAGACCCTTGAAGGAAAGGTTTATATAATAGAGCAAGAAGTTGTAACCACTATGGTTATTCTGCCCCTTCTATTGCCCACATGTAATTTGAACAATTTGTAATATGACAAGAGAGCAGTCTTATATCAGTTGATAGCTTTACCTCTGTTCACTAATAGTGGTAATCAGCAAAAGGTAACAAGTACAAATTTTATTCCCTGTATTGTTACTGTCTGATATTATTGACTCTATTATGGAGAAGTAAATAACTGGGTGATGAAATAACAATTCTTGCATTTGACTCAGTCACCTGTGGCAGAAGTTTCGGGGAGCAGATTTATTTAGCCATCAAGTTATATTCAGCGAAAAAGGATAGAAAAATTACAAACTTGATTTGGAAAAGATAAAATTAAATTTGGAACTACACTACAATTAGGTCATGCCTTGAACGCTAATCTGCTATTCATGCTGCAAGTTCATCTTCTGCATCAGCTCTGTTCGCATTTATTTCTGCCAATGTTCGAGCAAATCGTGTCCATTCATCATTTCGAGGAACTGCTATTTGCTGTTGAAAGAAATGAACATTACCTTCAATAACTCAAAGAGGATACAGCCAGAAGCAATTGGAAGGACTCTAAATATATGATTGCACTGACCTAGTAATATTCCACCCGACTACATGAAAGAACAAAATTGGAGTTCAAATTATTTTTAATAATTATAATCCTGTTGAAATTGACCACAAAAGAGAAGCAATAAAGGAAAAGTTGAACACAGAGGGATCAAAACTTCAATTCTTGAGGATATTGTTTATGATTTTGACCAAGCTTAACTTGTTACTTTAGGAAGGGCATAGCCTCATATTCGTACTGCTGAAAAGGGTCAGTATTTTAATCCTTTCATGTCAAAATACAATATATTCTAGTGAACAAAGTAACATGATGAATTACTCACCTCTCCTACATCATAAATCAATATCTGCCCTTCTGAGTCACCTACAGCTATTTCTCTTCCAGTCTGAGCCCATTTCACACGATTTAGTGCAGGATTACTGTCAACAGTAATGCTTGCAGTTGGCACCTAATTTGGATTTCAGAAAAACAAGTTTGAAATAATTGCCATGAATTTTGATTATCTCGCAAAGTGAAAATGTATGAAGAAAATATTTTCTCCAGATATGATACTGGATCAGAATTGTCCTACAACATTACACTTACACCTAATTCTACTCACTTCAGTGTCATTGTTGAGATTCCACAAATCAAGTCTTCCCATTCCATCGACACAAGCAAAAAGGGCAGGATGGGTCGGTGACCACATAACATCGTAAACATAATCAGAATTATCTTCAAAGGAGTATAATGGTTTGTTATTCTGAAAGGAAATAGTGTTTATATAACTTAAGATTTTTATACATGTAAAAAATCCATAAATCAAACTATACACATATAATTCCATTCAATTATTGTCATGCACTCAGAAGATTATACCTAAAAAATTATTTCAAGTGTTAATATGAAATTTTTACTTTTGTATGTTTTCTCCCATGCATCAATGTGTCAGTCTAAAGTACTACAAGTTGAATATTGTGACAAACATATAATGTAGATTAGTTAATACCAGGAAGGTGGACTACCTTAGTTGTCCAAAGTTTGACTGTCCAGTCAAAGGAAGAGGTGACAAAAAGATGAGAGAAGTCAGCTGGTCCAGCTGCAGTGTGATAATGAATACCTGTGATCGGTCCTTGATGACCATCAAAAATCTCACTAATTCCAGCCTTGCTACAAGAAACAAGAGTTTTGATTATATAAATTACTATTCACAAATATGTACCACTGACACTAAAAAGTGAATACAAAAGAAAATCCCCTTGTTCAGACAAATGTGAATTCTTCAATTTTCTCATCTAATGGGGAGAGGAAAATCACTGAGATAAAAACAACAACTGAAAATAATTCTTTTAGCAAACAGCCTTTCTCAATGCAAAAATTAATCTTCAAATAGTACCACAGAAAGGAAATTAGCTAAGATTCACAGTTAACAATCTTGCTCTATGTCCATGTCAACCGCAGTTCAACCATTCAGTGCTTTTCTCTTGCTGTAGAAATTGTTGTTCTTCACCTAAGTTTGGTTTCTTGCATCCCAATCCGGATGAATGCAAGTTGAAAAGCTTCAAGTTTGTGTCTCTTTTTAGTGGTGCTTAAGTTCTGTAGTACCAAGGAATTATTTAAAAAGTGCTTAAAGATGTTGGCGTGAACAAAACAGAATCCCCTGTCTTACTTTGTACATGAATAGGAAAAATTTAGACATACCTAAACTTTAAAATCCTCAAACTTTTAACATACCTTTGATATGTTTTGTGACATTTTTCTATATTAAGGCACTACGTAAAGCAATTATTTGTTACTGTTGAAAGTCAAATGAAATTGTTCTGGATTGTCAAGTTCCTTCTGTTGTATTTAAGACACTGTAGTTCATTAATGTGAATGAGTCTGAGATATCAGTCTTCTCCATGGGAGTGTATTGAAACCAATCAAGCTGTTTAAAGCATCCATATAATTGGTAATCTCACAAATGTATAAATAATACATATTGACTAATGTATGAGGAGAGGTTAGAATTACATTCACTGGAAGGTACTAAAAAAATGCACAGTGTTATTGATATGGAAGTAGTAGAGAAAAAGTTTCCATTTATCGGGAGTCCAAAATTTTAGAGGTTATATTTAGAAGCTGGTCACTAACAAGGTCAATAAGATAAAGTTTCTTCACTCAAGAGAATGGGAACAATGCAAAAAAACCTAGGTGCTTTTAATGGGGAACTTTATAGGTACAAGAGAGATGATATGGTTTGAAGAAGTAGGGTGGGAGGAGGCTTTGAGTAATAAAGATTAGTGAAGGCCAGTTTAGTTGAACAGTCTGTTTCCATGCTGAACATGTAATGCAATTCAATGTGAGAGACCCTTTGTGAGACCATGAACTGTAAGAAAATGATGGTATTCTCCTGCATTTTTCCCTTGGGTTTCTTGGTTACAGGTTTGCCTGTCAAGAAACCTTAATGGATTGCTGCATTGCACCTTGTAAATGGTACACATTGTAGTAGCTGTGAGGTGATGACCTAAGGAGTGAATGTTTAAGGTAGTTAGTGAATATCCTTTCTTTCAGATGGAGCTAAGTTACCTTTCCAAGCACGTAGAAAGCAATCCATGACACTCTTGATTTAAGCCTTGCACATGGTGGAGAACTTCTGGGGAGTCAGATGCTGAGCTACTCATCTCAGAATGCCAGCCTCTGACCTGCTCTATTGAGCATAGCATTTTTGTAGATGGTCCAACTCAGTTTTTAGTCAATACTTCGGATTGTGATTATGGAGCATTTAGGAATAGTAATAAGGAGATGCTAAGAGAGGGTGTGTGTGTGTGTGTGTTGGGGGGGGCGGGGGGGGGGGGGGGGCGGGGGGGGGGGGAGGAGGTAGGGGGGTGCCAAAAGTGAAAATTTGGCAGTAAAATAAACAAGTTTATTTGTTTAAATAAGCACTAAAGCTTTTAGACACAATCGAATTATTCAATTTCAAAAATCACTAAATCCTGGTAAGAACACAGAATTCCTACATTGAGTCTGCACTGACCCTCCAAAAAGCACCCTACCCTAACCCCTGTAATCCCACATTTACCATGGCTAATCCACTGAGCCTGCACATGTTTGTACTGTGGGAGGAAACCAGAGCACACAGCAGACATCCACACAGACACGGAGAATATGCAAAAAGTCACCCAAGGCTATAATTGAACCCAGGTCCCTGGTGCTGTGAGGCAGCAGTACTAACATTGTGCAACCGTGCCAGCCCCCTGCAGAGACTTTCAATAGGTTTGCATCCAAATTTCTATGACACAGTGACTTTTCAAAAATCAGTACTGACTTATTTTCTATTAGCAGAATGTACACTGAAATTTTACAGCGAAATAATTCAAATAAAGTGCTTTACATATTTCCTGCCTTACCTTCCATGGCGGCACGCTGTGTATATAGAACCTTCCTCACTACCAACCACAAAATTGTTGACATCACCCAATGGAAAGGACATACAAGTAACAGCCACTGCTTTAGATTGCTTGTGCATCAACTCCATGCTGTCCTGTGCAAAACAAAACATTCTTGTTGACGTATTACTCCCTTCGTGAATCAAGATGAAAAAGCATTTTACCTGTTTAGTTACTGTGCTCTAAAATGTCGTGGAGGCAAGATACATCATAAGGTGTTGTCAGAAACAAAATACTGAAAGTCAGGAGCACAGACAGAGTTTTGATGTTGTGGGCAGGGTCCTCATTCACATCTGATACTACCAAATTTTAAAATAAAATTATTTGGTGCTAAGCAAAAGGAATTATCTTCAGGCTCTGCTTGTAAACATAATCAGAACTGGAGGAGAGGCAAGATGCCTATATTCCCAGCCCAGAGGAGAATGGGTTCAGTGCAACTGAAAAACCCAACATGATTTGCAAATGACACAAAGCTGAGTGGAAGGGTGAGCTGTGAGGAGGATTCAGAGATGCTTCAGTGTGATTTGGACAAGCTGAGTGAATGGGCAAATACATGGCAGATACAGTATAATGTAGATAAATATGTGGTTATCCACTTTGGGAGCAAAAAGAGGAAGACAGATTATTATCTGAATGGCTATGAATTGAGAGAGTGGAGTGTGCAACGAGACCCTAATACACCAAGCACTGTAGGTAACGATGCAGGTGCAGCAGGCAGTCAACAAGGCAAATGGTTTATTAGCCTTCATAGTGAGAGCATTTCAGTACAGGAACAGAGATGTCTTGCTGCAATTATACAAGGCCTTGGTGAGCCCACGCCTGGAATACTGTGTGCAGTTTCGGTCTCCATATCTGAGAAAAGATGTTTTTTTTTATAGAGGGAGTGCAGCGAAGGTTTACCAGACTAATTCCAGGGAAAGCAGGACTGATATATGAGGAGAAGTTAAATCAGTTGGAGTTATATTTACTGAAGTTCAGAAGTTCTGAAGTGGATCTCATTGAAACCTATAAAATTCTAATAGGACTAGAAGGGTAGATGCAGGAAGGATGTTCCTGATTACAGGGAAATCCAGAACCAGTGATCACAGTCTAAGAATACAGGGTAAACCATTTAGGACTGAGATGAGGAGAAATTTCTTCACCCAGAGAGTGATGAGTCTGTAGAATTCACTACCACAGAAAGCTGAGAAGGCCAAAACACTGCATACTTTCAAGGAGTTCAGTATAGCATTTGCAGCTAAAGGGATCAAAGGATAGGGTGAAAAAGCAGGAACAGGCTGTTGTAATGGATGATCAGCCATGATCATAATGAATGGTGGAGTACGTCTGAAGGGCTGAGTGGCCTACTCCTTTTTTTAAATGTTTGTATGATTTGAAAACAAGGATAAAAACTTTAAAGACTGAGGCAATGTTAATACTGGAGTTCATGTTGGTCAGTAAACACGAGTACTGGATAAATAAGTCTAATTATAGGCAGCAGAGTTTTGCATGACGTCAAGTTCATGTAATGTGCTAGATTAGATGGCCAGTCAGGAGAACAGTGTAATAAGGTTCAGAGGTAATGACGCGATGGATGAAAACTTCAGCAACAGATGAGCTGAGGCATGCATGGAAATGGCAATGTAATGGATGTAGAATTAGGCAGTCTTGCTGGTTGTGAAAATGCTGAGAAACTGGGGAGATGAAACAGACTGGACAACTGCTTTGCAGAACATCTACGTTAATGTCCACAAAAATTGCCTGACACCCCAGCACACCACCATCTTTCCACACCAACCTCTCTGTCTCAGGCTTGCTGCAGTGCTCCCAGTGAGGCTCAGCGCAAGCTGGAAGAATAGCATCTCAATATCCGCTTGGGGACCCAACAGCCTTCAGGACTCAGTATTGAGTTCAATAATTTTCAGGCCTGAGCACCTTCTTCCGTGTCCTTTACCTAGCCTATACACGTGGTCTTGTCATCACAGCCAACCTAGTTTCACACAAAATGGTCCCCATCAGTAGATTTTCTTTCTCCTCAGCTCATCATTTTCCAATTTTTTGTCTGTCTAACTGCTGTTGTCTCTCTCTGGGCTCCATCTCTCATTTACTCATTCCCTTCCCCTCCCCTCTCCTTGTCTTCAGAATAAATACCACTCTTCCCTAGCTAGTATCAGTTCTGAAGGAGGGTCACAGGACCCAAAACACTGACTCTGTTTTCTCTCCACAGATGCTACCAGACGTGCTGAGTTTCTCCAGCAATTTCTGCCAGATTTTCAGCATCTGAAGTTCTTTGGGGCTTTCTGTTGCAGATTTAAAATAACTGGCAAAAGAAGTAAAAATGAGATGAGGTGAATATTTTTTGTTATTTCAAGTGATTAAAGTCTGGAAAGCACCTCCTGAGACCGCAGTGGAGGGAGTTTCTATTCAGTATTCAAAAGGACATCAGACTTTTTGCTGACAAGGAAGAATGTGCAGGCCTACAGGTATAAGGTAGAGGAATGGCACCAGACAAATAGCTATATTTGGTGAATTTAGTGCATCCATGATGTGTCGAATGGTTTTCCTGTAACTTTTCCATGATTCTGACGTTACCAGATAATACATTGGGAGCTATGTAGTTTTTGCTGTAACTGTAAATATTGAACAGCTGTGCAATTGATACTTTTCAGAACTGAATAAGCTGTACAAAAAAAAGCCAAATATGCACAGTTAGTAGTTAAATGTAGGAAACTAAAGGAAGAACAGTGGCACAGCGTATTGTGGTTTCAACACATTTGATCATGAAGTAGAAAACAGAAACATATTCAGCTCCTTACAGTGTTTGGATTTCAGGGCAAGTTGTCTGTTGTTAAACGTCAGGAGCAAGGGAGATTAGGGATTTTATAATAGGGGAGATTAGGTGTTTTATAATAGAGATACATAAAAGGCAGAAAACTAAATTCAGAGCATCTTTTTCCAACATAATTTTTGAAATAATAAAAAGACTATTTAATTTTAAAAATCATTCAAATACATATGCCATAATAAAAATGAACAGAAAATCAAAGAACGGTAACAACCATCCACATTTTTAAATTAGATTTCCTTTACCTGTGGCTGAGAAAGCATATCCAAACTCCACGAGCAGATCTTCCCATCAGTAGAAACGCTGATCAGGTTATGAGCATTCTGGGAACCCACAACATTCACACAGTAGACTGGATGCTGTAGGAAGATTATTTTCTGGTTAATACCTTGTCCAATCTGATTATAATAAATATTTTAATCATTTTACCAGTAAATGTAGAGTTAGGAAAATATCTTAAAAATGTTAATTTTACAATTTTTTCAAAAATGAATTTTAATATCTGATCTTTAAGTCCTCACTTCAAATCTTAATTTAGGTAGTTATTATTCTTGAACTGTACCGTGTGAGCAGCAGCAGAGAGTGGTGTTCTTTGGACTGGTGTCCTTTTGTTACTGCGATTATCCCAGAGCACGATCTGGCCAGAATATGTTCCTCCAACTACAAGATTTGGATGAAATCGTGCAAAGGATGCTGACATCACAGATGACTGTTGCAAAACATAATAAATTCAGTCTTCTATCAAGACAAAGGAACAGAGCAGCAATTTTCAATTGCATTACCTAGGTAGTTCCATTTAGGACTAGAATATTATGCTCATTCAGATCCTTTTTAATCTCACATCCATTAGCCAATTTGAATTAAACTTTAAACACAATTTATTTCTCTAGATTTCTTACAAACAATAACAGACCATAGCAGGAGCAGGACAATTGGCCCACCAAATCCACCTGGCCTTCAAAAGTGATTATGGCTGATCTGATAATCCTCAATTCTAATTTCCTGCCTTATTCCCATAACACTCAATTCCCTTAACGATTAGAAATCTGCTTGCCTCAGCCTTAAATATACTTAACTGCGCAGCCTCAACAACCCTCTGTGGTAAAGAAATCCACAGAATCACTATAATGCTGAGAGAAGAAATTCCTCCTCATCTCTGTCCTAAATGTCTTAGTCTAAGATTGTATTCTCTGTTCGTAGACTCTCCCACAAGCAGAAACTATCTCTCTGCATCTACCCTGTCAAACCCCTAAGAATCTTAACATTTCAATGAAGTCTCCTCTCATCCTTATAAATTCAATGTTGTACAGGTCCAACTAATTCCACCTCACACAAGAAAATCTCTTCATAGTCAGGGTCAACTTAGTGAACTTTATATGGACTGCCTCCAATACGGTAAATCATCCAATCGAAAAGGGGACCAAACTACTCTCCGTAGTCTAGCTGTGGTGACTAGTCCCTCATACAGTTTTAGCAAAACCACCTTTTCTCATACGCTATTCTCTGTGGCATAAAGGCTAACAGTCCATTCGCCTTTCCTATTATCTGTTAAAGTTGGGTGCTAGTTTCTTGTGATTCACAAACTAGAATCTGCAAATCCCTCTGTGTTGCAGCTTTCTTGCTGCCTTTCTCATTTAAATAACATCCAACTCTTCTATTCTTCCAGTCAAAATGCATAACCTATCACTTTGCCACATTATATTCCACCTGCCAAGTATTTGCACACTCATTTCACCCATTTATAACTGTAGGCTATTTGTGTCACCCTCACTATTACCTTCCCACTAATTTTCATGTCATTTGAAAACGTAGTGATAAAACATTCACTTTCCTCATCTATGTTATTAATAACATACTGCAAATAATTGTGGCATCTGCAGTGATCTCTGCCGCACTCCACTAGCTACAGGTTGCCAACTGAAAATGCCTCTTTTATCCCAACTATCTATTTTTTTTATTAGTTAGCCAATCCTCTACGCACACTAATATACTCACCCAACATCACGGGCTCATCTTATTAAGTAGTCTTGACTGCAGTATCTTAACAAATGCCTTGTGAAAATCCAAATGTATTATAGCTACTGGCTCCCCTTTATTTCCCCATGTGTTACCTCAAAAATCTGTATTAAATTTATCAGGCATGATTTCCGTTTCATGCATCCATGCTAACATTGCATTGTCATACTGTGTGTTTCTAACTGCAGTTTTATTACATCCTTTATAATAAATTCTAACATATTCCCAATAACAGATGTCAAGCTAACTGGCTTTTGTCTCCTTTTTGAATAAGGGTGTTACATTGGCAGTTTTCTAATCCTGTGAGACTTTTCCAGAATCTAAGGATTCTTGCAAGTTACTACCAGTGTATTCACTATCCCTGCAGCTGCTTCCTTTAAAATCACAGGATGCAACCCATTAGGCCCAGGGAACTTATTGTCCATTAGTTCCATTAGTATCCCTAGTACACTTTTCTAGTGATATTTAGTGTTTATTTCCTTTTTCCACCTCGACTACCACCTGTACTTTAGCCCCATGATTATTTAGTATTTTTGGGACATTATTAATATCTGCTATCATGAAGGTGATGCAAAGTATTTGTTCAACTCTTCTGCCATTTTGTGGCTCCCCATTATTATTTCCCCCAGCCTCATTCTCTGAGAAATCCACGTTCACTGTTTCCTCTTTCTTCCTTTTTATATATTTAAATAAGCTGTTACTACCGGTTTTTATCCCCATTGCTTATTTTCTTTCTCATTATTTTTTGGGTCATGTTTTGATGGTTTTTAAAACCTTTCCAATTCTCTGGTTTACCTCTAATCTTGGCTACACTGTATGTTTTCTTTCTTTCAATTTAATACAGTCCTTTACTTCCTGTTTAATCATTGTTGGTTTAACACTTTCCTATAATCTTCTTTCCTCACTGGAATATATCTTTGCCATGAGTCATGATCTTTTTTAAATATCTGCCATTGTTCATCAAACATCTTTTCTGCTAAATTCTTCTCTCAATCCACTCCAACCAATTCTGCCCTCATTCCCATGTAATTACTCGTTTTAATTTTAGCAGTTATTTCTGATCCAAATTTCTTGTTCTCAACCGAGTGCGAAATTCTACTGGTCACTGCTGCTAAGGGAAACTAAAATAGCCCGATCCTGGTTAGATCTGAATATATTATTCTAGGAAACTATCCTGAATACACCTATGAATTCTTCGTCTTGGCTACCTATGACAATTTTATTTTCCCAATCTGTAAGATAATTAAAATCACCTATAATTAATGTACTGCCTTTTATTAACATGCCTTATTATCTCCTGATTTATTACCTATCCTACATATCAGGTACTGTTAGGTAGCCATAGACCTCTCCAACAAAATGTTGTCTTCTCGTTACTGCTTAACTCCACCAGTATGGATTCTACATGATCTGGTCAAATATCAAATTAGCAAAATACTGCAAGTGTAGAATCTTGTAACCCTTTCCATACTGAGGACACAGGTATAAGCATAATACTAATCTTTGCATATGTGACCCTGCTAATTCACTTCTTAAATGTGAACGATGATTTTCTATCTTGCTATAAAGAGCGGCATGTTTCCTAACCACTTTATCTTGAACACATCAGAGTAACTCAAGAATGCCAAATTTCTCATGAACGAACAATTTATACCAGAGGAGAGTGCTGGTTGGTTGACAAGGTGTCTCTGAGGCACTGTTATGAATAAAACAGTGAAAAATCATAGGTCTCCTATGCTTCCAGGTAGTTCAACCAGCCAATCATTAGGACCTAAAACCTAAACACCAAGTGTCACAATATTACCAAAATTTATACACTACATTCAATTGCATGGTCATTAGAACATTACTTTAGTACTGGCATGATGCCAGATAGATAAGCCATACATCCCAGCAAGTGGCTGGCACATGCCTTCAGTTGTTGGCTATAAGCAGATACGACCTTTCGCATTTGCAACACCCAAAACAAAACGTCCACTGTTAGACAGAATTTTGAAATTGGCTAACATTTGCTGAACAACCTTGACTGTGCTAGCGGCTCAACTGGCAACTAACTTCAGATCAAAAAAAAAAGTTGCTGGGAAAGCTCAGGAGGTCTGGCAGCATCACCGGACCTGAAACATTAACTCTGACTTTTCATCACAGATGCTGCCAGATATTCTGAGCTTTTCCAGCAACTTCTGTTTTTGTTCCTGATTGACAGCATCCGCTTTTAACTAACTTAAGATAATCAGTCAAGGTTGCAACATGATACATTTACACTCACTAGAAGCAACATACATACATAAGCAAGCACTTGTTCCCTGCAAAGAAAGGATTTTAAGCTCTGCATTTTTTTTGAATTACCCGCAAATTTGGAGAGCCTGTATTTCCCCGTTGTTTTCATTACAGCACCACTTCAGTCAAAAAGAGTTGATCAGCCGACCAATCAGCATTTCCTTCTCCCTAAGGATATGTTGTTGCCACTGTTTGAAATGTAAGATTTTCTGTTTGCCTTGATAAGTGTGAGATGAGAAGATTTGCCAACACATCTATCCTTTCAGCTTTATTTCCTACATAAATTATAAATACTTCGATTCCAATATATGCATACTTAACTGTATACAGTGAGGGGCCCTCACTATTTTTCTTTTATTTCTCTTATTTTTGTTTGGAACTGAGAGTTGGGGTTAGGAATTTTTCTTTGAAAAGCAGCTGGTTTTAAAGGAGAAGCAAACAAAGTCAGATGTTTGCTGTTGTGAACTGGCCTGGAAAATACTGCAAAGTAATTACCGTTCTAAGGACACTAGATGATTTGGCACCAAGCTGCTGCTATGCCCAGCACTGGCAGCTAGTTGAATGCTGAATTGGTCAATTGGGGGTGGGGCCAGCCAATCACAAAGAATGTTGACTGGAAAGAAATTTTACAAATGATTCTGACCGGGCTTTTAGAGGATCCGAGACTGCTGCTGTATTTTATCTTCGCTCTCTAGTTTCCAATAGTGTTACTGAATTGTAAAATGTTCTGAGAAAAGAATCCCAGTCTGCAGAAAATAAGTGAATGTTTCTGAAGATCCGCTGAAATTATTTGCATTCACCGGTGACTTCAGAATTCAAACAAGTTCTAAATGTGTACAACCGTTTCTCCCAGGTTTTTATGAAAGTCTGGTATTTATCATTTGAAATGGTTTACTGAACTGGCAAATTACAGTTCACTTAGTTTCTAAATTTTCTCTTAGCCATGTCTGCTATCTGGGTTACTGGGGGTTTATGATCAAAGAAGAATGGGTTTTAGACCGTAGATAAAATATTTGTCTGCCTTATTGTTTATCAGTGTTCTGCTAAAATTATATTGTTACTAATACATTGTTAATTTTTGTTTAAGCTATAAACATGAGTGTCCAAGATCTGTTATTAATAAAGTCTGGTTCGAACAATCGGACGATTTTGAGAGTCACTGAAGGCTTTGATTAAATGTGTTGCAAATCCAGTGATAGTAAGGCTGATTTGATTTGGCTTGCTACCTGTGTCATAACAATAGTAATAATAATCAATGGTCAATGCGGTTGCATGATACGTTTATTATAAAGTGGTATGACCAGCTTTTCTAGACAGAAAGTTACAATCTCTCAGAACTGTTTGAGCTGGAAGGCAAAACAGAGAAAAAAATTGACTTGCATTGTTCATATCTTATCCCTACCAGCTGAATATTGATGAGATTAGAAAATAACTTTTTTGTTGAAGCTGGATTTTTCAGCAATGCAACTAACACTGGGATAGGTGACATCTATTTGTGAATGCATTAATCTAATCCATTGTTACAAAATCCCTTACAGCTAGCATATGACACAAAGCAAATATGTAACACTATCACCAACACACATGTTGAAAATTAATGTATATGCTAGAGTGATTAAATCATTAAGTTGACAAGCATGAGAAAGTCTTAAGCAATGGTCTACATTTCTAATTGAATTAAACAATGGCTTTGGCTGAACAAGAACTCATACTGTACCTGGCAATGGAAGACATATTCTGGAGTCGTTTTTTTAAATTTCATGTTCCACACAAGAGCTACACCATCTGGCTCATGAGGAACATCTTCATTGTTATTATATGAAGCAACAAGAAGTTCTGGATACTGTTGACAGCAAAATCAGAAAAGAAACATTAACAGGAAGAGTAGGCTGCCTGAGACACAGCTATACTATGCTATTAGTTGTACATCAACCACTATTGCAAACAGATGAGGCTGCAAACTGTTGCATATCTGCAAATTTAGAATCTTGACAGAATCAGTGAGGGGTTTGGTGAAATAAAAACAGTTCATTACTAAGGATAGTGATGAGATTTAAATGTTAAAACTGCAAGTTAAACACATAATATTTAAATGATGGACTACAACCACTCATTTTTCTGTACAGCTCTTTCCTGATTTAGACTCTGTGTGTCTCAGGCAGAATTCTTCAATCTGACCGACTGAGGATGCACAACATTTATGCCTAATTCACACAGATCTCCTGTAGAATATGCTGCATTGGTTCAGGCTCAATCTCTAACGTAAAACACTGTTTGTCTCTCCATAAATGCAACCAGGCTTGTTGAGTATTTTTAGCATTTTCTGTTTTTATTTCAGAAATCCAGTATCTGCATAATTCTACTTTTGGATTAAGGTAGAGGCTAAAATATATCATAAGCTTAACCAATGTGTTCATTTATTGGGAGATTGTTATGATATATAAAACGATATTTTCTAACTGTAAATTAGTTTTCAGAATCAGAAAAGTTTTTAGCATTAATTATGAACTTAATACATTTATAAGGACTCAGTCACACTGTATTTAATACATAGCTTCTTCAAGGGTTTCCATACCAAGACTAAGACTGCAAAAGTAAAACATTAACAGTGGACATCTGGGAGAAGTATGTAATCTATGACCGAATGCATACATGTGAACTCCAGTAGTTGTATGGTTTTAAGGGCCAGCAATTTTTCTACCAACATGTTCAACCTGACTTCCCTAGCTATCATTAACTAGTATCTAACTTAAATGGGATAAGTCAAGGAAAGACAGCTATGGATACTGTTTGGGGAGAATGACCTCTCAGAGGAAATAGCAACAGCTAATTTTGTTTTCTCACCACAGTTGGCCTACTGCATGGAAGAGGAGGAATAAGCCTGTAAAAGCTACAATAGGGGATTCAATTGTATTGTGATGCCACTACAAGCCACTCTTCCCAGACAGTGTCTCTTGCCACAAACAAGATTCCATGATGGTCTGTTGCCTCCTGGGTGCTAGAGTCAAGAATGTTTTAGAGCAGCAACAGGACATTCTGGAGTGAAGGGGTGAGCAGCCAATGGTCATAGAACACATCAGTACCAACACAGGGAAAAATAAGGGATGATGTCCTAAAAGTACAATATAGGGAGTTAGGAAGTGGTGAAACAACACAAGCTGGAGCACTGGAGCAGGATCAAAACTGATGTCCAAGGGGGAGTATTTGCTCTAACAGTTGGGGAGGATTTAAACTAGAATAGCCGGGAGGTGGGAACCCATACAGGGAAACAAGAGGGAGGGAAACAAGGTCAAAAACAAAATACAGAATGGATAATAAGAAAAGCGATAGAGAATTCAAGGGCAAGAATCAACCAGGTCAACAGTGCAAAATAATGCAAATGAGACAAAGAATATTAAAAAGACAAGGCCTTAGGTGCAGAACATTCACAATAAGGTGGATGAATTATTTGTGCAAACATAGATATAAACATGTACAATATAGCTGGAATTATGGAGACATGGCTGCAGGGTGAGCAGAGATAGGAACTGAATACCAAGATTAGTTTTTAGGAAGGACAGACAAAGAGGAAAAAGAGGTGGGGCAATAGTGAGGAAGGATATTAGATGAAGCGGAATCTGTATGGGTACAGCTTAGAAACACCAAGGGGCAGAAAACGATAGTGTGGTTATATGGATAACCAGAAGAAGACAGTAAACAGGAAATCAGAGGTGTCTGCAACAAAAGTAGAGATGTCATTGTGAGAGACATTAACCTGAATACAGATTGGGAAAATCAAATCCGTAACAATGCCACAGAAGAGGAATTCCTGGATTATGTACAAGGTGATTTTCTGAATCAATACGTTAAATGGCCATCAAGAGAATAGGGCATCCTAGACTGGATAAAGTGTAGTGAGAAAAGAATAATTGGCAACTTAGTTGTGCAAGGCCCTTTTGGAGAAGAGTGACCATAAATATAATAGAATTCTTCATTAAGATGGAACGTGGTATAGTTGATTCTGAGACTAGGGTCCTGAATCTAATTGAAAGAACTATGATGGTATGAGGCAAGAGCTGTCTATGATAAATTGGGAAACATTGGTTAAGGGGATGAGTGGAAAGGCATTTGTAACTTTTAAAGAGTGTATGGAGGAACTGCATCGATTATTCATTCCTTTCTGGCACAAAATAAAACCATAAATGTGGCCTTAACAAAAGAAATTAAGGATAGTATTAGATCCAAAGAACAGACTTACAAGTTGGCCAAAAAAAAATGCAGCAGACTTGAGGGCTAGGAGCAGTTTAGATTCAGCAAAGGAGTGCAAAGGAATTGATTAAAGTGGGGGGGACAATAGAGTACAAGAGTACGGAGAACATACAAACTGATCAACAAGTGTATAAAGAGAAAAAGGTCAATGAAGACAAGGTGGGAAAAAAACCCTAACACAGAAACAAAATAAACAACTTTACCTGAGGTGACCAATCCATGCATGTAACAACACGATGTTTTGACCAACGCTCATCAAAAAACTGTCTGTTTACAGAAAGTTTAGCTCCACCTTGAAGTTCTCTGTTAAGAAATGAAGTGCAAGTCAAAAATGCTGTTCAGTTGTTCAGCAACAGTCTTGTCGAAATAAATAAAATTAAACAATGAATAATACCCCTCTTTTTCTTCTAAATCCTTGCCACTGTAGTCAAAAAAGAGATCTTTATGTTCTGCAAGAGCTCGTTCAATTATTCTGGTGCTGTGATCAAAGAATGTGAGGAATTCATCAGAATGAATAATTTGCTGTCTTTCCTCTTCTGTAAGCTCACGTGGTGCACCTGATGAAACAAGGTGAAGAAATCTTTGTTACTTTAAATTTGCTTTAAACATTCAATTCAGAAAGGTACTTTACGTCTTCACTCAACCACCGATTCAATCCAATTTCCATTAAAGATGCAAATTGCCCATTAGTGTAACATTTAAGCATTTGGCCACAATGTCGAGTATAATTTCTTGCTGACATTCAAAACAGTCAACTACTAATTGATAAAGAAAGGGCAGTCCTGATTTTTTTAAAAATACCTTCCTCATTCAGAAATAAAAATACATACAACATTCATTTCATTTGCATGTCATAAAAGTCATACAGCACGGAAAAAGACCCTTTGGTCCAACTCATCCATGCCAACCAAGTTTCCCAAACTAAACTAGTTCCACTTGCCTGCATCTGGCCCATATCCCTCCAAACCTTTCCTATTCATGCACCTATCCAAATGTCTTTTAAATGTTGTAAATGTACCTGCATCTACCATTTCCTCTGGCAGTTCATTCCACATATGAACCAACCTGTGTGTGAAAAAGTTGCCCCTCAGATCTAAAAGGGACCTTTCTTCTCTCAGTTCAAAAATATGCCTCCCAGTTTTGAACTCCCCCACCCCAGGGCAAGATCTTTGGTATTCACCTTATCTATGCCCTCATATTTTACTTGATCAATGAATTCATTTCCTCATTATCTAAAATATTTTTCTCTATATAGAATGTCAAATTAATCTTTAATTAATCAAACTAAAATACTTTTTTTTACAGAAAACTAATATATGGTGTGTTATTAACCCGAAAAGTCCAATAGTGTCTCTGGCTCCATTCTTCATTTTGATGTTAGTTCATCTTACATAAGGCAACAGTTGAAGCAAATCAAATCAGCATGAAACCCTGAGATGGAGGGAGAGGCAAAAGAATGAAATAAAAACTGTACAGTGCTTTCACAACCTCAGAATGTTCCAAAGAGATACACAGTCAATTAAGTTTAAAAAATGTAGCAATTTGTTATCCGGGTAGCAAATTAGTTAAGTAGTAAACAGCAGTGAGGTAAATGACCACAAGTAATCTGCTTTACTGAATTGGCAAACAGAAAATTATTCTTTTTTTGAACAGTGCAAAGGATCTTTAAATCCATCTCTACCATTAAGGGTAAGGGAAAGTAATGGCCTAGTGGTATTATCACTGGACTGTTAATCCAGAAGCCCAGATAATGTTCTGGGGACCCAGGTTTGAATCCTGCCATGGCAGATGGTGGAATATGAATTTAATAAAATATCTGGAATTAAGAATCTAACGATGACTGTGAATCCATTGTCGATTGTCGGAAAATCCCATCAGGTTCACTAATGTCCTTTAGGGAAGTAAACTGTCTTCCTTACCTAGTCTGGTCTATATGTGACTCCAGACCCACAGCAATGTGGATAACTCTTAACTGCCCTCTGGGCAATTGGGGATGGGCAATAAATGCTGCCTAACCAGCAATGCCCTCATTCCATGAATGAATAAAGAAAAAAAAATTAAGAGCCTTATTCTATGTCACCTCCAAAAAACAGCACCCTAATCCTTTATTTCAAAGAAAAGCTGGGAAGTTCTCCAACTAATTTCACAATCAGATGAGGTGATCATTATCACACTACACGCAGTTTCAGACTTTTCCAATAATGACACTTTGAATTACTTACTTGCCCTGTGAAGCACTTTGGGGTGTCACGATGCTGTGAAAAGTAAGTATATTTTTTTCCTGAGTGCACAACATGACAATAAAGTTAAGCCAAGTGTTCAGGTCCTCTGAATCCAAAACTTCTGACAGCTGCAAGAGTATTATCCCTGAACCAGAGCTTTTGGTTAATAAGGGCAGCACTGAGCCAGCCCTTTTGATTAATAAGATCTGTTAGCACTTTTGCAACAAAAGCAGTATCAAGAAGTGTGGGTATTATGTGATCCATCCTCTATCCAAAGTTTAATGCACAGCTCATGCACAGTCCAAGAATTTGGACCTAATCCAAACAGGTTACAAACAGATCAGATACAATCTCATTAAATGACACAGCAGGCTGTAGAGGCTCAATGGCCTACTCGTGCTCTTAATTCATATATTTGGAATATGCAAGTCTGCTGAGAATGACAGCAACATATATAAGCACAAATCACTGCCTACAGAATAGCAAGCACAGAATCCACTGTTTATTATAGCTGACATTAATGCACATTAGCTTCAAAGTCTCCAAAATTGTACAAAGCATTTACATTCACTGAGACAGACCACATTTAGAATTCTAAGTATAGAGTGCATATATAATAGAGAAGTGTGTGTGTGTACATATGTGTTATAAATGCATACATCGGAAATGGTACAGTAAAGAAAAATAAGGATGGAGTAAGAGCAGGAAAAATTTGCTGACAAGCAAAGAATGAGGACAGGCAACATAATCTAAAGAATATAATTGTAAAAGGGTTGCAGGAACAACTGGAAGTTTATGTGCACAGTTGTTAAAAGTAGCAGGGCAGGTTGAGAAATAGTTGAAAAGATAGTTGGGAACAAGAGTTTATAGAATCATAGATCATAGATCACAGAATCCCTACAGTGTGGAAACAGGCCCTTCGGCCCAATAAGTCCACATCGACCCTCAGAGCATCCCACCCAGACCCATCCCCCTATAATCCACCTAATCTACACATCCCCGAACACTATGGGCAATTTAGCATAGCTAATCCACCTAGCCTGCACATCTTTGGACTGTGGGAGGAAACCGGAGCACCCGGAGGAAACCCTTGCAGACACAGGGAAATTGTGCAAACTCCACACAGACAGTCGCCCAAGGGTGGAATCGAATCCGGGTTCCTGGCGCTGTACAAAGACAGGCACAGAATCCAAAGGAGATTATGACAAAAATTTATGAAATACTGATTCATTTACAAATAGGGCAGTGCATCTAATTATAGACACCATATTTTAAATGGAAGTGAAGATTTTAGAGAGACTGCTGAAAAGATTTACAAGAGGGGTTCCAGGAATAAAAAGAACTTGAATTATCTGAACAGATTGGAGAAGAGAGAGTATTCTTATAAAATCGAAAATTGCGAGGAGATTTGATTGAGGTTTTTAAAATCTCCAAAACCTCAGAGTATTAAAAGACGCTGTTCACAAAATTGTGAACCAAAGGATACCAACTTAAGATGACCGGCAAAAGAAGCAACGGTGACTTGAGGATGATCTTCTATTTCAGCAAGTGTTTAGAATCTTAATGTTATGCATAAGAATATGGTGGAGGCAAATTCAATTGTGGCTTTCAACAATAAAGTTGATAAAAATCTGAAAAGTGAATAATTTCAGGGTTACAGGGTTAAGGTGGTACTGAAAGAATTGCTTTTGTAAAGAACCAACGTGGGCATGAAGGGCCAATGGCCTCCTTGTGACATAATTAATCTATGATTCTGTCTCTTGACTAGCCATTAGTAACCATCCAGCCTAATCCTAGTTTCAAGTTCTTCATCCAAAGCACTTCAATTTTTTTTAGATAACAAGGTGTAGAGCTGGATGAACACAGCAAGCCAAGCAGCATCAGATGAGCTTTTCTGAAGAAGGGTCTAGACCTGAAACGCCAGCTTTCCTGCTCCTCTGATGCTGCTTGGCCTGCTGTGCTCATCCAGCTCTACAACTTGTTATCTCAGATTCTCCAGCATCGGCAGTTCCTACTATCTGTACCATTTTTTTTAATGTGATTAGGGTTCCTGCCTCTTCCAGTCATTCAGACAGTGAGATCTAGACCCTAAACCACTCTGAATAAAATGCATTTATTCTCAATTCTGCTTACATGCTTTTCTCAACTACATTAAAGCTAAATACCCTGGTCACTGACTTCTCTCTTCAACATAATAGATCTTTCCTATCTGTTCCGTCTGGGCTCCATACATTCTCTGTAAGGGAGTGTATCTGGTTTAATGAAGCCCAGAGAGCCAAGAGTCAGGCTGGGAAAACAGCAAGTTAAAACAAACCTCTCCATGGCAACAATAGCTTTCAAGGTGTAGTGGAGCTAAACTGGAAGATTTATATCACAGAATCATAGAATCCCTACTGTATGGAAGCAGGCCATTCAGCCCATCATCAAGTCGACACTGATCCTCTGAAAAGTATCCCTCCCAGATACACCCCCCTACCCTATCCCTGTATCCCTGCATTTACCATGGCTAACCCACCTAGCCTGCACATCCCTGGACACTATGGGCAATTTTGGCATGGCCAATCCACGTAACCTGCACATCTTTGGAGCACCCAGAGGAAAGGCACGCAGACACGGGGAGAATGTGCAAACTCCACACAGACCGTCACCCAAGGCTGGAATCAAACCTGGGTCCCTGGCACTGTGAGGCAGCAGTGTTAACCACTGAGCTACTGTGCCGCCTTCTTTGCTCCTCAATAATGCCTAGGGTAAAATTATCAGTGTGTTCACTTGGTTCCAAATTTCCAATGCTAGGTAACTTGAAGTCAGTTTGACCTCAAAGAAAAGCTGAGGATATTGAAGTGAATCTAAATAATTAAACTACACAGTAATAGAGATCTGCAATTTGGTACTATTTAAAATATATACAGAATGGTAATAGAAAACACTTAGATCTATTTGTTAATGACTTCAAATTAAACTTCCAAGATCTATCGTGAGTCCCCATCTTATTTACCCTCAATGACTTCACCAAATACACAGCATTAGTTTTCACATTTATGCTGAAAATACCTAATTTTACCACAGAATCACCTCTTTGGACTCTTCCACCGCTACAAAACTATCAAATTACTTATCAGACATCAGAACTGGATGAGGAGAACTTTCCTCCAATTAAATATTAGGAAGACTGAAGCCATTGTTTTTGATCCCCACTCCAATCTCCATCTCCTGGCAAACAACTCCACCCTTCACCCTGAGGTCAGTCTGAGACCTAGCCAGTTTGCTCACAAACACGTTGTCATCTTTGATCCAAAGATGAGCTTCTGAATTAATGCTCGTGCCATTGCTATCATTGTGCATTTCCACTTCTGTAATGTCATCCAATTTCACTCATCTCAACCCATCTGCTGTTGAAACCCTCATGCCTTTGTTACTACTATGTTCAGTCATTCCAACACATTCCTGGTTGATCTCTCACATTCCATTCACTGCAGGCTTAAGAACATATAACTTGTCATGATTGCGACTCAACTTGCACCAAGTCCTGTTTCCCTATTAACTCTGTGCCCACTGACCAGCTATGGCTCTTTCTCAAGCAACACCTTAACATTAGAATTTTCAACTTGTTTTCAAATCCATTTGTTGCCTTGCTCCTCCCTATCTTTGTTATCTCTTCCAATCCCACAAAACCACAAGATGTAGGAGAGTAGGCCATTCAGCCTAAGACATGTGCTCTGAGATATCTCTGCTTTTTACATTCCAATCTCATAAACATTCTCAATGCTTCATATTGGTGCTGAGACTAGGCACCAAGCTCCAGAATTCAATCCCTTCATCTCTTTGCCTCACCCCCTCACTTTAAGCCTTTAAGACACCCCTTAAACATTTCCTCTTGACTGAAGATTTGGGTCATTTGACTTAATACCTCTAGTGTGGCTTAGAGTTATACGTTGTTCCTATGAAGTGATTTGAAACATTTCATTATGTTAACGGAACTGTTATAAATTTAAATTGTTATTGTTGAAACAGAAGTATTAGAAACTTGATAGTCAAGTGGTTGTCTTGGTGCAAAATGGTCATTTCGACACCGAGTCACGCAACTAAACATACAAAGTATGCTTTTATAATCAGGTTATTATTTTAAGTTCTTCAGAATGAATTTTCACTGCCAAATACCTTCCTTAACTTCTTCTTTTTGTACTTGTTCTGGTTCCGGTTCAATTGCTTGCTTAGGTACAATATCTTCCTCCTCCTCTTCAGCTGCAAAATAACAGTTTAGCAAGATTAGTGTTGCAACCTTACAGATAAACTGAAACACCTTACATTTAAGCACAACATTTTCATTCTGAAGTATCTGTAACAAACGTTCCCCTTCAGAAGCTATTAACATGTTGACTTTAATTAGCTAAAGAAATGTTATTCATTACTAAAGATGAAGAAGGAGTAAATTATTTCACAGCTGTCTGAATTGCTACTTGCAATCTTCAGGCCATCAATGTCAGGGCAATGAGGAAATAACTAATGGCTTCTATCTTGAAAACGGCATGACAATCATTTCTTGACATTACTATTGTCAGAGGTACTGACATTTAACTGCTTTTTACTTTGCTCAGTGCTTATAGCCTTAACACCAGAGGGCTCTTACCAGGAAAACTAAATTTCACAATACACTTAGCGATTCCACTTATAATATTCACACCAGAAAATATTTAAATTCTTATCCTTTAAAAAAATACACAGAAGAACCATTTAGTTTTCAAACATATTAACTTTTCAACTTTTATAGTTCATACCTTGACATTCTGAGCAGAAACATCATTCATTACTAAAGCAGCATAATTAACTAAGACTAATATAAATCATTTCAATTGGTTTTCTTTAAATTCACTCTTGGGACAAGCATTATGCCCATCCCTAGCTACCCTTGAGAAGTTGGTGGTTAGCTGCCACAATGCTGTTAAGGAGGGTGTTACAGGATTTTGACCCAATGACACTGAAGGAACGGCAAATATACTTCCATGTCAGGATGGGGAGTGGCTTGGAGGAGAATTCGCAGGGGAGGGGTAGTGTTCTAACTATCTGCTGCCTTTGTCCTTCAAGATTGAAGTAATAGCAGGCTTGGAAAGTCTTGTCTGAGGAGTTTTGTAATGCATCTTGTAGATAGCACGCAGTGTCGTTAGTAAGATTCGGTGCAGAGAGTTGACGAAAAGGGCTACTTTGCCTTCGATGGTGTAAAGTTTCTGGAGTGTTGGAGCTGCATTCATTCAGGCAAGTGGAGAGTATTCCAATGCAGTTTTGTCTTGTGCCTTGTAAATGGTGGATAAGCTTTGAGGGATCAGGAGGTGAGTTACTCATTCCAAGATTCTGAGCCCTCACCTGCTCTTGTCGCCACTGTACTTATATGGCTTGTCCAGTTTAGTGCTGGTGGGGTAATTCTGATCATTCAGAGATAAAAGATAGTGAACACTAAGCTAGCCAACTTAACGATACAAGACAACTTTTAATGTAGACCTATAATAACGTCTCAAAACGTCCTGGTTTTCTGATCAATTTAGTACTGGCACTGAAAAGCAGTCACAAAATGCCTCTTTGACAATACTTCGACATACAAAACAGATGTGATGAACTCTTAAAAATGTTATGGCTCATTTTCCAAAGTTACAAAACAATAAAGTTCTCAATAATCCTATGGTTCCAATTGTTTTCTGTTCAGTAAAATACTAGATTGTCACAGATCGTTAAGTCTACTGAGTTAAACAAATGAATTATTTTAAGTATCCAAATATAAGGAGAGGTGGTGATGTAGTGACAACATCATTGGACTATCAATCCAGATCCCAGGCTAATGTTTTGAGGAAGGTTTAAAAACAGAACATCAAAAGTATAATCTCTGGCTTACTTCCAGTGCCAAGTTCAAATGAGGGAAGGAATAAAAGTATGGGGGAGATAAACCATTGGCTGCAGAGATGGTGCAATGTGCAGGGATTCAGTTTTTTGGATCTTTGGGATCTCTTCCGGGACAGAGAAGACCTGTTCAAAAAGGATGGGTTTCACCTGAACCGGAAAGGAACCAATATCCTGGCAGAGACATTTGCTAGTTCTATTTTGGGAGTGTGTAAACTCTTGGAGGGGGGAAGATGTTCCTAAGTAACAGTGAAAATAGAAAAAGAGAGATGAGAATGGTTCTGAATCAGAGAAGAGCAAGTTAATTAGAAAAAATAGAAAACAGCAAGTCGGAGAACGAAGTAACTCTGAAGAATTAAACTGCATTGAGGCGTTGTAGCTACTACAGAAACTTGGCTGAGGGAAAGACCGGATTGGCAGCTCAGTGTTCTGTGTTTTAGATGTTGAAGGATAGAGAGAGAGGCAATAAAGGAGGAGGAGTAGCAGTTTTGATTACAGAAAACATTACTATTGTAATTAAAGAAGATATTTCTGAGGGACCATTCAATGAATACATACGAGTTGAAATTAGAAATAAGAAAGGGATGATCACCCTGATGGCATTGTACTATATGTCCCCTCGATAGTCAGAGGGATATTGAGAAGGAAGTATGTAGACAGAGATCTCAAATGTATGTAAAATAATAAGGTTGTAATAGCAGGGGATTTTAATTTTCTAAACACTGACTAGGACTACCTTGGTATTAAAGATTTGGATGGTGAAGAATTTGTTAAGTGAGTTCAAGAAAAATTTCTTTATCAATAGGTAAATGTTCTTACTGGAGAAGGAGCAAAACTTGACCTTCTCTTGGGAAATAAGGCAGGGCAAGTGACTGAAATGTTAGTAGGGGAACATTTTGGGACTAGTGATCATATAATATTATTAGTCTTAAAATAGTAAGGGAAAAGGATAAGTTTTCCATAAGTGTTGAAATTCTTAATTGGAGTAAGGCAAATTTTAAGGGTATGAAACAAGAACAAGATTGGAGTAGACTATTCGTAAGTAAAGGGGCGACTGACAAGTGGGAGGCCTCCAAAAATGTGATAACTAGAGTTCAAAAGCTTTATGCTCCTGGAAGGCAAGGCTGGTAAGATTAGTGAACAATGGATGAATAAAGATATCCAGGCTCTAATCATGAATAAAAGGAAAATCATTTATTAGATACAGACAATTGGGATCAACTGAACCTTTTGAAGAGTATAAAGGGTGTAGGGGCATTCTTGAGGAGGAAATCAGGAAGGCAAAGACGGGATATTAGATAGCCTCAACAGACAAGGTTAAAGATAATCCAAGAAGATTCTACAAATACATTAAGAGCAAGAGAGCAACTGCAGAGAGAGTAGGACCCCTTAAAGATCAACAAGGTCATCTTTGTGTTGAACCTCAGGAGATGGGAGAGATATTAAATTAATATTTCACTTCAGTTTTACTGATGAGAAAGAAATCCGAGTTTTTTAACAAACTAACCAAAAAAAAAATGAGGGCAGAGCGGTAGACGTTGTTTACTTAGACTTTAGTAAAGCTTTTGACAAGGTTCTGCATGTCAGACTAATTAGTAAAGCTAGATCACATGGAATTCAGGGTGAGCTTGCCAACTGGATGTAAAATTGGCTTTATGGTAGAAGACAGAGAGTGGCGGTGGAGGGTTGTAGGTCTGTGGAGGCCTATGACCAGCAGTGTTCCACAGGGATCAGTAACGAGTGCACTTTTGTTTGTAATTTATGTAAATGACTTGGATGAAAATATAGGAGCATGGTTAATAAGTTTGCAAATAACACTAAAATTGGTGGTGTAGTGGACAGTGAAGACAGTTATCTAAGATTACAAAGTCTGCTTGATTGTTGGCAAAATCCATCTGCTTAATTAATGTCCATTAGGGAGGGAAATCTGCCATCCTTACCTGGTCTAGTCTACGTTTGACTCCAGACCCACAGCAATGTGGTTGACTCTGCTATGTAGGACAATTAGGGATAGACAATAAATACTGGTCTAGCTCACAACGCTTGCATCCCATCACGAATAAAGAAAGAAAAAGGTTGCTTTAGATTTCAGTTACATTTCAATTAGAAACAAAAACTGAACAAATTAACCATGTAATAATTCAATTTCTTACAGAACTTGATGATAAATAAATAATTCAGCCTAATATTGTTCTTCTAAAGGACTTTGACAGAAGTGATAATGTTAAATATACAAAAAGTCACTCTATTGACAGCTAATGAAAACAATTCCATTCTTGTAACTGATGATTTCCATTTCTCAGGAATATACAAAGCCAAATGCAGTTTCTGCACAAGTTAAAATGTTGGGCCAAAAACTAATTAAAAGGTATACAAATCAAGATAAAAGGAAGCCATGAAGTGAGAATGTCTTGCACAGATAAAGATCATTACTATACTTCTACTACAATTCACAGACATTAGAAAAATAAATTCTGAAATCAAAGCTGTTGGTAATTATGAAATTCTTTTGAAATAACACAGGATTTACAAACTGGTCCTGCATAAACACAAGCATATTTTGAGCACTGCTGACAAACAGAAAGAAAGAAAGTAATTCATAATTAAGTAGCCCCTTTCAGGGTCTCAATAATTCCTTTTTTTCCTTTGAAAGTGGTATGTAATCTTTTACTCTACATCACCAGGCAGTCTTGGCCTGAGCTTAACATCTCATCTGAAAAACACATCCAAAAAAGTGGTATTCCCTTAAGAATACATCAAGCTATTAAGATAGATTACATGCTCAAGTCATGCAACGAGGTTTGAACACACAACTTTCTGACTCAGGCAAGACTACTAACAATAAGCAATGCTGGCACCTATGGTTATTTGCCAAACATTGACATATGATTAAGCCACATGACCCAAATCTGATACAGTGACTGTTCTAAAAGATTATATAATTCTAGATATTGCAGAACACAAGGGGAAGAAAAGTCTAAGGACAGTTCTTAATCATTCATAATACAAACAACAGTGTTCCAGGAAATAATTGAATTGTTGTTTCAAAAAAAAAGGAATTTTATTATTGATATGGAAATCTTCAAGTAGAATATCTTTGCCTGTTTGGCCACTTTAGTGATCACAATTATGAGTGCTCAAGTGCTGCCCAACTAGGCTACTGCCCCAGAATAGGATAGCATGGCATTGCAAATTCCAATTATCTGAGAGGAAATAGGATTGAAAAATTACTTGTATTGTTTTAAACTAATTGTTGTCAACTAAACAATGTAAAAAGAAATAAATACAGAATCTACACCAACTTCTCAATAGAGTATCATCTTTCATACTCAAATTTGCATGGTTAACATCAGGAA